ACTATCACTAGCTTACACTGCTACAATTTATTACTAGTATTCATTTCAACATTGTAGTTTCCATGATTGTGTTTGCCTCATGGAAGGTTCCTTGCTGTAACATGCCGTCTCTGTAATAAATTACATTAGCAGCAGAATTGACTGTGTCTGGCAACCCACACTCCTCTGCAGGAGGTGACAGACTAATTTTGAAGTGCAAATCTTTTACAGATAGGTTACAGTTTTTTATGTTGTCTAAAAGGAAGGGGAATGGCTCATTTTGTGAGTACCCCAACCAATTGCTACCTTTGTTTTTTTTGGTCCATTTTACAATATTTCACCTTGTTTTTCCACCTCCCTATCCAATTTCCTTGATGTCTGTTTGGTCAAATTTTTACAGGATTAATTTCAAATCTGAGCATGGCTTTAACTCTTACGATCTGGAATGACAAGTCAGTGAAGGCCATTTTTCCCCTTTTTAACCCGAAATTCACCTCAGAACTTGGTCCGGGACAAATGGGCCGAGGGAAACATTTCCGTTGCTTGCCCAAGATCTCCAGAGTATGAAGAAGAACTGTTCAGGGATGGCCTTTCGACCTGAAAGACGCTATACAAATGTAGTTTTGTTATTGGTGTTCAGAGATGTGTCCTATTCACCATTATTTTAACCTGCATTGGGTTTCTTGAGTATTTTTTTAAAAAAAGAGTTGATGATCCTTATTCCAAGCTGAAAAAGTGGAGCATGTTTTTGAAAGCTGAGAATGTCGTGGACGAGTTGCGACCCAGGCACACAATGTTGCTAAATGTGCCATATGGTGTCGCTCGATCAGTTCTCCAGTTATGTATTAATGAGCTTTTAACACTCGGTGTGTATTGAGAAATCAATTTTTACACTTTATAAACAGTTCATTGCCATTTCATGCTTTTTCTTTTAGGATCTGTTTCATCACTGAGTGCCTTTGTGGGTTGGAGTGAAGCAGGGTGGGGTCATTCCTTTGGTAACGAGGAAACAAATGTTTTTTGCTACCCATTTTGAAGAATTGTACTGTATTGGTCATTCTTCTTCAGCAACCATCTCCTTGGGATATCGTTTTCTCCCAGCATGCACAAATAGCTCCCTGATATTTTATCCTTCCCACGACCAGTAATAACATTGCCTTTTACAGCTACATGTATAGGAAAAGCTATTGGAAATGGGTTTTTCCCTTCATCCTCGTTACTCACCCTTATTTGGCTGCCGGGAAAAACACAGATCATGGAAACCGCATTCTCTTTTGTAGCAATAATAATAATAATAATCCTTGCATTTGATATAGTGCTTTTTCAGGTCTTTGAGACATCTCGAATCGCTTCACAGAATATATTGTGAAGCGAATTGATTGTTTATTTTGTGGGTGAAACGCAATGAAAATGGAAATGCAATAGAACCATCCTTAATGAATTCAGTTCCATTCATTAATGCTAAGATATTCAGGTATTTCTCTAATCCTGACTGAGGGATCAATGTTAATTGGTGGTTTTCTGGCCCTAAATTGGAAATTGATTGTACTCTTTGTGACACATTATTTCAGATTTGAATAATATTAAAAAATCACAAAATATCAGTTATCAAATTGATATATATTATATCAAATTGATATATATTATATATGATATAATATTTAAAATAATCACTTACAAACTTAAATGAATTTCAATTATCTTCACAATATTAAGGCAGCCATCCAAGCACAGCCCCATTTGAGCTTTGACCTAATGATTTTTGGTCAGATCCTTGATTGGATAACTTCTGAGTACTGTGCAGTAGTTTCTGGCATTCTGTAATTTATTAGACACTTTCGCGATTGCTGCACTTACAGCAAGTTGATTTAAGTTGCAGAGCAATATCCCTCCCTCCTAATTAATGCTGTGTCATAATGTTACTGCACAACATTTTCCAAAATTTAAATCAGGAAAAAATTATTTTAGTTTGCATTTCATCTTATCATAATCTATTACTTGCATTTAATGTCTAAAAATTCTTTAATGTTCCAATGTTTCTCAGCAATTTATGACATTTTTATTGGGAGCAGAGCTTGAATGTTTTTTCAGATAATTTTAAGCTCAAATTAACTCATTTTCTCACTTCCTAATTGATTCACAGAATCATCTTGCAGTGCTCAACTTTGCTCTTGCTGAGTTTGGACTTATTTAGAGCTGTGTTCTTTTGCACTCAAGTTGAAGCATGTTTACTGTTAGGGAATGAAATACTTAGATTTCAAGAGAGTCTAAATTAGGTCCACAGAGACTCTTTGCCCTCCAGTATGATGACACCAAAGTGGAAGAGCATAGAGTAATGCATTATTAATGTATTCTCATCTATTTGTACAAACTAAGTGTGCACCTTTGTGAGCATAGCTAGGCTGTGCACATGGGGAAGTTGTTTGAGACTGCTCAGTTGTACTCTGCTAGGACCCTGTAATAGAGAGAGAATATATTATTTTTGTTCTTTATCTATGATTTTGAGTTCAGGATCCAACAACAACAACAAGTTCCATTTATTGAGCGCCTTTCACGTCGGGAGGACGTCCCAAGGCGCTGTACAGTTGGGTCAGGACCCGAGCAGGGGGAAATGGTCAGGGGAGGGGAGGGAAGGGAGGGAGCGAGGGAGGGGGGTAGAGAGTCGAGAGGGGAGCTGAAGGCACGGTCAAAGAGAAAGGTCTTGAGACCGGCCTTGAAGGAGGAAAGGGAGGAGGCGGCGAAGGCACTGGGGGATAGAGTTCCAGAGCCTTGGGGCTGAGAGGCTGAAGGCCCGGCCACCGATAGTAGGGCGGTTGGGGCGGGGGATGTGGAGCAGACCGGAGCCAGAGGAACGGAGGGTACGGGCAGGTTCCCATAGGAATCTATTTTCCTCCCCATTCTCTCCCCACATCTACTATCAAGTTAAGAATTGTGTGAAAGCCACAAAACTCATTAAATATCTTAAGAATTTGTTTGTGTCAGCCTGGTTTAGTTGTTTGCCCCCTCGCCTCTAAGAGAGGTTGTTGATTCATGCCCCACATCTAGACTGACTCCAATACAGTTCTAAGGGTATGCTGCATTGTCTTAAGTGCTGTCCTTTAGATGAGACATGAAACTGATGTCGTGACTGCCTATTTGGGTGGACATTCCATGACATTTCATGGTACTTTGAGATGTCCTAACGTTAAATGTTAAATTGATATTTTGATATTTTCATATGATTTTTTTTCTTTTGGTGTTTAGAAAATGTCTGCTTCCTCCTCTTCCAAGTTTTACCTGGATTTTTCATCTGCTTCAATAAACTAGTTGAAGATCCTGAGTCTAACAAAATTTGAATTTTGAACAATAATTATTTTTGTGCAAATAAGATGGTGTTTCCTTTCTTTTCTTGTGGGGACGACGACAGGAGTACAACTTAATTCACAAAATATATCAAAACTGAAATAGGTGCTGTAAACCTATTAGCTAAATATATTTAATAAAGGATACAAAATGCGCATTGCGAAATATACATATTGAGGTATTGAAAGGCCTTGGCAAAACAAAACCTTAAAGTAGGTTCTTCAGTTTCTTAACTCATTAAATATGTTTTATGTCATGAGAAACACTCTTCAGTTGCTGAGGAAGGACACTTTGCTGTCTTGTATTGCTAATTGAATTAGTCAATAACACCCAAACTCAACAGTTATTCTAAAATGAGAGTACCAGCAATAGTGCTTTTATTTCGTTAAGTCAATTTATTTATTTCGTTTAGCAATTATTCACCATGTCCAAAATAAAAGATCATAATCATTTTCTTCCATCGTGTGAAGTATATGTAGACATGACCAGTTAGTGCTTCTCTGCTTGTGGACTATTTACTTTTGCAGATATTTTTCAGTGGGAGGTAGAGTAATCAGTAAATGAAACCCGCTTTCGCAATGAGAGTTTTTTTTAATGTCATTCGGTCCTTAAGGCTCTGCTGTTTATTAAATGCAAACATTTAGATCATTTAGGTTTGTTGCAGAATGTTTCCTGAATGTCACTAAAATGACATTTCAAGTTATACCTTGGGGTTTTTGGAGAGGGGTTGAAAGAACAAAAAAGATGTACTTTAAATGCTGATAGGAAAGTGTAAAAGTACCTTAGAATCGACACAGAGCTTGCATGCCCTAACGGAAATCAATTTACGCCTTAAAAAGATTTCTGAGCTTAGTGCCCAAGATTTACTGTTTAAGGAATGTTTCAACATATAATTGAGATCGGAAATTCGCAGAGTTCGCTTGGGATGGTAGATGAACAGGATATTAAAACTAAAAGGCCCTCGAATTTCAAATAGTCCAGCGGGATTTTTTTTATGTTCCAGAATTTGCACTTAAATATTCGGTAGTTGACAGTTGAAATATGATTGCATCCACTGACTTAAATAGTACTAGCTGATAGTTAGCAACTCATTATAGTATTTATTTCAGCAACCCACCCAAGTGGTGGTTTTCAGTCGCAAGGGCTGAACTGTGTTCAATTCTTATCTCCATTGACTGTGTCCTACTCTTAACATGTTCTTTCCCTGAATCCTTCTCACCACCCTCAGTCTACCCTCCCTCATACAATCTACAGGCTTTTAAAACCCAAGCTTGGAGTCGGTGCTTTTTTGACTGAGCTTGCTTTTCTTTTCAACCAAAGTGTCTTGCAATATAACCTGTGGCCTCTCATCTAGGTTCTGGATAAGGCTGCATGTGCACCAAGTATTTGTCCAACTGTTTTAAATTGATTTTTTTAAGCAGGTGATACTTTTAAGTATTTTAGAAGCTTGAAATTTACAGTTTGATGAAGTGAAATTGGAATAAGCAGCATCCTAAATAAGTGGTGCCATCGTAATGTTCATTGCACTCCATGTTTGTTAATCTGTCTGTCTGCTTGGTGATGAAGCTTGAAATTTGATATATGAAGTGAGTGCAAAACTGCATAAAGTAAGTGTAAAACATTCTGAATGCAATATAAAATCATTGTGTGTAAACTATTCTCATGCATTTGTGGTGCAGGTCTGATGGTACCAGGCAATCATTGAACCGTTGTGAGGCTTCCCACCCACATCCGCATTTACAAGAGTGCAAGATGTCTGAATCGCAGGTAAATCCATGCTTCATTATACAATACTTAGATTCTAACAACAAGATTCATGTTTATAATGTCTTTAAAAGCAAGTACGCTCTCACTCTACAAGGGTGAAAGCAAGGATACACGTTTATTGCATATTTATTTTTCTGAATCATGCACAGTAAAGCTCTGCTTAAGGGAAATATATCTGTATTTTTAGTTCAGGTGGGTGTCCATCTGGAAACCCATCACTATGCTTAAGAGTATCCAAACCAAAAGAGTTTTGTGCATGCCACCTATACATGGAAATTCCAGAGATGTTTATTGGAATGGAATGTGCACTCTATCCCTGGAGGGACTTATTTCGCTTACCTAATACTGGAACATATTGGGTGCAGGTTAGCAAGAGCCACAGCTTGTGGACCTCAGAGTGTGCATTGGGGTACTGCTAGAGTCTTAAATTATCTAATATCAGCAGGCTTTCAATGGCACGTTATGGCACGGCCCCTTGACTAAATTTAGAACTATCCCGCGAAGAAGGAAAACTGATTTTTTTTCAGTGTAGGAATAGGAATTCCATTGATAGTGCAGTCATGATTTTAAAGCATGCAGGTATAAAGGTATTATAAAAATGTGATGTATTGAACGAAACACGTTCCAGATAGGGGCAATCGTAAGCCTACCTTTTACTCTGAGATCAATTTGAATAATCTGATTACAGCAAAACATTTGACTTTTTGTTTAGGTGTTTCTGCACACTTATTCTTCTCCCGCAACAAAACAAATGTTTTACTGAGATTTTGAATCAATTTATGCATCAAATCAATTGGCCACATTCAGAATTTTTTTTTGCTTTTAACCGGGTAATTGAATAAGCCATTTTATAGATGTATCTGATGAAATGCTCAAGATATTTTAGTGGCAACGGGTCCAATGTTGAGTGGATTGCTGCAAAGGCAACTGGAATGTGTTTGCAGCTGAAATATTATCATGTTAAAGAGGGCCGACCCACTTGTAGTTGATTCTGCATTAAACCCTGTTTTATCTGTATGTTACAACTTCCAAGCTAATGATTGAAAGGTATTCACTTCTAATTGCTGAAATAATATAGATCGCTTTCTTATTTTTCTAAAGACTTCGACAGGTGGTATTAATTTTTAATAGAATATGCATGAACAAAAATATTCAAAACTTTGCCTTATTTGATGTCTTCACACTAATTGGGAGAAATGCAACAAGATCCGATTGAATCTTCAGTGTCCTTTTTTCACCCAATGTGATACTTACAAAATCATATTTAGCCACTGCAGTACAAAGCCTTATGCAGTGAAGTAATTTCTTGTGCAACTATTTAAAAAAACGGAAAAAGACATTTTGTAATTCTTTATTTTTAAATGTTTTTGGTGACCTCATTACAGGCTTAATATGCAATGCTGTTTCCGAAAACATTGAATGCTTGAAATATTTGCAAATGAGTCTCTCTGTAAAGTTTCTAATAAACAGTGTCCTTCCTCATTGTTCTAACCAATGGATTTTTCCACATTGCAGACAATATGGACTTCAGGCACAGAATGTATAGCCAAATACAACTTCAATGGCAGTGCAGAACAGGATCTCCCCTTCAATAAGGGAGATGTTCTTACTATTATTTCAGTCACCAAGGTAATGCAGCATTTCTCAGTATAAATGTTGAAACATTGATTTTTTTTGAGAAGTAACTATTGATCTTGTGTTTCGAAAAACAGATCATTGGGAAGTTACATTGCCTATTGTATTACATAGCCTTTTAGCTCATGACAATCTAGTTCAGTGCTGGAGGCAGCACTGCATTGTCAGAGGTGCTGTGAGAAAATTCACAGGCAAAGAATTTATTGTATAAGAAATTAAGCAAGGTTATTCACTGAAGTTGGTTTTAATTGAACAGAACCACATCAATTTTGGTTTTAACCAATCTAAATTTCCTTTGCATGCTACATTAGCTTCTCAGAGCTCGACTCTTGTCTTCTTTCTACACTTTACCTTTGAAAGTTCCAGATCTTCATCACCACCTTCTTTAATCCCAGTATAACGGAAGCCATATAATAGCAACCAAATAATTCCAATTGTTCCATTATCCATAGGCTGATGCAGTAACCAATTTAAATTTGAATCGAGGACAGAACCTGACTCCACTGTCAATGCTCCCAACCACTACCATTGACAAATGTTCTCTCTTAATTTTAAATCAAATGACATTCACTGGAGCATTATTTTGGGTGAATAAGTTGCTAAAGAAATCAAAAATACACAAATTAGGTTGAGCTGGGACTAGAGACAACCTGAATACAGCAGATGCAGCTATTCCAATACTAAAAGTTTTGTTAACAGAATAACCAACTTGTTTTGTGCATTTCTGGGGAAGTGGCTAACCTCAGTTTGCTGTGGCCCAGATTGAGCTATTCATATCCGTGAAGGTATATTGCAACACCAGCCCATTTTCCTGTTTTTCTCTCCTTTTACTAACTCTTTTCCACATTTCCATCTCTAGTTCTTAAGTTTGTTTTTTAAAAATAAGTGCAATAAGAAATATCTGTAACAAAGACAGACTTCTCCTAAATTTGACTTGCTGGTTGTTGAGGTATGGAAATTAGAGGACATTGTACTCTTTATTAGGCAAGCCACATCTTTCTTAAGATCTCTTAAGATCTTGTTTGAACTTTTCATTTGACCTTCTGCATACAAGGGGCAAATTGACAACACTGTCTCCAAGGGAGTTTATCAAGCGTGTGAAACTTTGATGATGATTTATGTCGATATAGGGATTACTCCAGCTCTCTTCCTTTGCACAATGTCACTGAATCTTTTCTATCCAGAAATCTAGACCAGGTACTGACAGCATCACTATTCAAGTTTTCAAGTTTGTCTTCTATATAATAAAACTCATGTAAGTTGTTTTCAAGTTGCAAGTGGAGATATTGGCTTACATTTTACCTGCAAATATACAGTCAATTCACTTTACAGTATATTCTAGAAGACGTCTCAAAGCACTTTACAGAATATACTGTATCAAATGCAAGGATTATTATTATTATTACATCTAGCAAAAATAAGCTCCTGACCTCGCTTTATTGTTTTCTCTCCAAATTCTGCTTTCTCATTCTTAGGATCCAAACTGGTACAAAGCAAAGAAGGAAGGTCAAGAAGGAATAATCCCTGCTAACTATGTCCAGAAGAGAGAAGGGGTCAAATCTGGTGCAAAGCTTAGTCTTATGCCGTAAGTACAAGAGGTTTGGCCTCCGGAGGTTTGGTCGCATCCGACCATATCTTACCCCAAATGCAGCCGAAACCCTAATACCTGCGTTTGTCACTTCCCGCCTGGATTACTCAAACGCACTCCTCGCCAGTCTCCCCAGTTCCACTATTCAAAAATCCAGCTCATTCAGAACTCTGCTGCCCTTGTATTTACCTGGACCAAACTCCGTACCCTCATCTCACCAATTCTCGCCAGGCTCCACTGGCTCTCCATCACCGAACCGATTGACTTCAGGATCCTCACACTCGTATTCAAATCTATTCGCCCCCTGGCACCTCCCTCCCTCTCCGACCTCCTCACTCCCCAATCCACCACCTGGCAACAATGCTCGTCTGGCATCGACCTCCTGCTTGCCCCTCACACCCTCCGCTCCTCCATTGGAGGTTGCACTTTCATCCACTACACCCCAAAACTCTGGAACATTCTCCCTCAACCCCTCCGCTTGCCCCCTCCCCCTTTTCAAGTCCCGCCAAAAATCTTCCTTTTCGACTGTGCTTACGGTGACCTCTTCTCCCCCCCTCCCCCAGCTCGGAGTCAGGCTCCGTCACTGTTAAGCACTCTGAGACACCACCCTGCAAGTTGTTGGTAATTGGTGAATTCAGAAAACAAAATTGTTATTATGAAATGAAAATTAACTCAACACAATTAACCATCTTAATAATAATAATACTTGCATATGATATAGCGCTTTTCATGTCTTCCAGACGTTTCAAAGCGCTTCACAGCATCTAACTGTAAAGTGAATTGACTGTGTATTTGTGGGCGAAATGCGGCAGCTAATTGCGCACAGCAGTATCCCACAAACAGCCATGGATCGAGTGACCAAAGTTTTACTTTTATTTCCTTGAGGGATTATTATCAGGCGTGTGGAGTAAGGAAACGTGCCCAAGGTTTCGCCCTGCCGGAAATCGAACCCAGGTCTCTCGCTTGCGAGGCGAGTGCTCTAACCACTGAGCTACAGGAGGCCTGTGGCTCGTCTTGACCTACAATTTAAGGCAGAAAACATTTGGAATCTTTTTGGATAAATCGTTTTTACTTGCACTTTAAAAATTGCCCAAGTTTTAGAAATGTATTGCTTTTGGGCAGTCTGCTATGAAAGTCAAGTTATTTTTCATTTGATAAATATAATGGTCAAAAGTAAATACTAGTTCCATGCTTTCTCTTTTTACTCGGCTCCCTTCCAATTCTGCTACTTACCTAGACATTTGATGCCTTTCTTTGAAAACTTGTGGGGAATTCTAGAGGTAAATTAGTGTCTTAGGGCTCTCACCCAGAAGGTGCATGCATCAATGCACTGTGCTGCACTTTTGTCTGATTCTAAATTAGAGGGTTGTAATTGTAAGTATTGGTACTCAAAGGTTAATACTGTATGTGTTGAGAGGAATTCAATGTAAAAATAATCAACTCCATAAGTTTATATCTGGAAAGCTCTGTGACTTTCAATTGTTTCTGTAACCAGGAATAATTTATTGAACATAATTTCATATTGCCATAAGGTGTGGCCCAGATTGACGATTGGTTCTCAGTTAAACACCGCTCTAAGAACATTACTTTGGTCCGCATTTTGCTAGTACCAGAATAATCTGAGATACTGAGGTGTAATATTTTGAGTCTGCTTTGTTGATATTCTCTACAGCTGGAATAGGGAACGTCAGAGCAGGTTGAGATTCTCAGATCATCAGTTTCACTAAACAACTTGTTTTCGTTGTACTGATTTAAATTTGTTTCCATTAGTAGATTTGCCTAAAAATTGACATTCATTTAATGAGTGTAAAATATTGCGTTGGGTAATGATTTGGAGAAGCAAGTTTGCCAGAGCAGCCGTGGAGAAAAAAATGTAGCAGGAAGGGCGATTATGGTGTTAGTGATCTGGCAGGTTGTAAATGATGAAGTGGCGAGAAAGCAAGTCAGGCTTTAATTTGCTTGCATTTTGCTGTGGTGTATGCTGAGTCATCCATTATAGCTGTAAGACGGCGCTAGTTAATGTAGATCACATTTCCTCATTTTCTATTGATTCTAATTTTGAATGTAAATTTTTTTCAGTTCGTTCATCTGATATTGTCCATCAGATTCTTAGAACTTACTTGATGTACTATACTACTGTTTATTCAAAATAGCTTTGCCTCATAAGTTTATTAGGTTTACATGTGAGAAGCAGTAATGTGATAAAGTTGATACTAGATGGTAAGTTAGTATTACCACTAATACAGAGTTGATTACTCAGGGAGAAAGGGAGAGAAGGAAATTAACAAAGGGAGAACTAGTCTCTTCTCACTTTTGGAATCTGCTAGGTTGTTGCCCCTCGTTTACCATCAAGCCATTCAGGTCCAATCTTTATGATATTACAGTCACTTCACGCAGGGTTTTGTCTTTGAATGTTTTTGCGGTTGACTTTAAATCTGCATTGACCTGTGATGTCAGCGGACCTCTTTGGTTTAATATTTCAAAATCAATTGGGGGCTTGTTTGATGTTTCACTTTTGATTTTCTGGTGAGCTATTCTTTTTTATTCTCTCTCCTCCACCCACTCAATACTGATTCATTACAGAGGTCGAGAAGACCTGACTGATGGTCAATTGAAATTCTCCTGCACACTCTGGTGAAAGCCGCTGATCTCAGATTGTCTTCATTTCTGTGTTGACTGACAGATATAACATTTCCACTAATTAGTGTTTGGCAATGGATGCTGTGGTTCACACAACCAGCAGCTGCAGTCATTTCACCGTATTAACTGGACTGGAAATGAGCCTGATAGACAGTGCTATGCAGGAAAATCATGAAGGGAATAATACTTTCAATAAAGTGTTTGTAATACAGTTCTTAGTGGAATAATGCAATGAAAAAAATCTTAAGAATACTGTCTTGAGAAGAGTGCAAAACTGCTATGCTCTATGGTTTATGCCCAGTGTATATTGTGCCTTTGTATATTTATTGGTAGGAAAATATTATTAAATCAATAACCAGCTTTAAGGTATGCAGTCGCAATGTGATTCAGAATAGAACTCTTCCTTTGAGGTGGTTTTGCTCGCACCATCTATTCACTTGTAATATAAATACACACAGTGTGAACTATGAGTTCATCAGGGTGTGAGGAACAAAGCAGAGGACAGATTTTTGATGGCCTGTAATAACCAGCTATACCTTCAGCATTGGCTGGGATTGCAGTATTTCGGATCTGAGGAATTAGCTTGAGCACTTTGTCACTCGGCTTAGGTTGGGCTTGCCCGGTCGGAGAGGTAATCCGGTCACCTGACTTGCTGGGATGGTTGTTTAAACAGGTAGTAGGTCTGTATTTTCCTTTGATTTTGAGGAGAAAAAGGTTTGTCTGTGGGGATAACTCTCATTCCCTTGAGGAACGCGTTTTGGTTCAATTTGTCCTCGAGGAGGTGACCAAGATTATGAGCTGAGATCAGGCACCACTTCTCTTTTTTTNGCCCAAACTGAAATAAGGGAGACACACTTGCCTCAAACCCCAAAAAATGAGGAAATCTGGAAAGGATGACGGAACATCTTGCCCCTTGCTGTGTCCTCTCAGGCTTTCAAGTCATGTAGCTAGCATTGGCAGACAGTGTAGAACAGATTGGATGTTGCTTCAGGGAATGAATGACTTATTACAGAAGGGAATTAAAAATCAATGTGGCAATAATTTTATATTTTTCCCCTTTAATTTGAGAGATTATTCTTGAACAGTTTGTCACATTTGTGCCCACTGTCATCCTGTTTCATTTTGTCAAAGCTTCCAGTTAATAGGCATGTTATCAATATTTCATTGTCAATTCAAAATGCAGTTTGAATAGGCCAATTAAAAGTGCTCTCCTCTTGAAAATATAATTTTTCTATTTAATGAGACTATCTTTCACTGTAATGTTGCTAAATAAAGCAGCTGTTTGAAGTTTTCAGCCGAAGTGGCTCCTTAATATCCTGGCTTGTGTTTCTTTCAGATTTGCGCAATTTATGTCACTGCTCTAAAGTTTGGGCTGCTGCTGGAATACCAGTTAAATACCACTTGATCTAAAGTCCAGAATATGCCAATATAAGTGGCTGGAATGGAATGCACACTCTCTCCCTGAAGAGACGCACCTTGTTGACCTAATTTCAGAGTGTTTTAGGCATATGTAGACAAGGGTTGGGGACCCCAGAGTGCACATGGGGTACTGCTGGAGTTTTAATCTGATAAACCATACAGCTTGTCAATGAGAGTACTATCTGGCAAGCCTCCCTCTGCCTGTCCATCCAGGACCATCCTACTACCCATTAGGACTTTGGCTTATAGGATTTACAGGAGCTGAATGGAAAGCTGTCTGTCATCAGTTCTGCTCCAGAAAATGGACTGCTGATAGCTGGCGTACCTGTCTGGCAGGTTTAAAGCCTGTGATGTTGGTTTTATAGGGAGGGAAGTCCACCTTCAATTTAATTTTGTACAAACATGTGTAACTTTAATTTTACTCAAGGGGTTCTTAAGCTTTAAAGAGGAAATATTGAATGGTTTATGGATATAAGCAGACCTCAAAATGGAACGAGACTTGAAACGTGAATGTTTTAGTAATTAGGAAGCTAGAATGATTCCAATAATTCTAAACTAAAAGAGTTTCAATTATTTCATGAACTCAATTTGAGTTTTAAGTGTTTTTCCATAGAACTTGCCTTTGTAATTAATTATATTCTAAGACGTTCTTTTGGGGAAAGAAATTTGCAGTAAATTTAGATTTTATTTAAAGCAAAGATTCCTGGTGAAACTTGTACTATAGCTATCCACTGCTGAAGTCTCTCAAAAACAATTTGAGATGATTTGTCGTATACAGGTGCATAACATATGACATTGCGTGTGATGGTCATGGGTGTGAGGTGAGATTAGTGGTTGATATACCCTCAATAATAATGGTGTTGGCTGCTTATAGTTCCATGACAGATAGTTTACCCAGTGATGATGCTATCTTGTAAATTCTACTTTTTACACAGACCCGTTCTTGCGAAGGTTGTCAAGCTGGAACAACCTTTGGTTTTAGATTTCTGTGATATAATATTGCTCCTTTTAATAATCTCTATGCCCCATTTCTCTTGCCCCCCCCACACCCCCATTGCCTAGTAATTGCTGTCTCACATTGTATTTCTCTATTACAGCTGGTTCCATGGGAAAATCACTCGTGAGCAAGCTGAACAGTTGCTGCATCCGCATGAAGATGGATTATACTTGGTACGAGAAAGTACCAACTACCCTGGGGACTACACACTGTGTGTGAGTTGCACCGGGAAGGTGGAACATTACAGGATCACTTATGCAGCAAGCAAACTCAGTATTGATGACGAGGTCTATTTTGATAACTTGATGCAGTTGGTAGAGGTGAGCTTGATTTCTCAATTGTCTTTCACATTTAACACATTTACTTGATCATCACCTTGAAGCCATAGGCCGTGAAGGCACCCACACAATGTATAGTCAACTCACTTTACAGCAACTCATCTATTTAATTCACTTTACAGCATTTTATGTAAAGCGCTTTAAGATGTCTCAGTCATGATAAGGCACTATATCAAATGCAAGAATTATTATTACAATGACAGTAAAATTACATTTATAGCGCACCTTTCATGTGGGGAGGATGTCCCAAAGCACTGGAACAGTCAGATGTCGGGGCTTCAGCATGGGAAAGGGGTGGTTTAGGGATAGGGGAAGGCAGAGAGGTGGGAGGGCGACCAAAGGCACGATCGAAGAGAAGGGTCTTGAGACCGGCCTTGAAGGAGGCAAGGGAGGAAGCGAGGTGAAGGGACTGTGGGATGGAGTTCCAGAGTGTGGGGGCAGAGACGCTGAAAGCCCGATGGTAGGGCGGGTCGGGCAGGAGACATGGAGCAGGCTGGAGCCCGCTGAACAGAGGAAGCGGACAGGTTGGTAGGGTCAGAGAGGTAGGAGGTATTAAGACCTTTTTAGGGGGTAGGGAAACCACTCTACGGATTGAACTATTTAAGTATAAATTCTTGTCATCACTTGAGTACTCACTTTCTTAGGTAACTATTAAATACTGAACTGTGCTAAGTTGTTCATTATTTGAAATGGATGGTTTGGTTAACCTTTGCAGTTTGACTTTTTATCAGATATCCTGATCAAATTGTTTCAGGCTTCTAATGTTTGCAGTTTTTATATCTTGCTTTTGTACTGCATCGATGCAACGGATGTTGCATAGAATTACATAGAACGTTGTGGCATGGAATCAGGCCATTCAGCACCATTATTGCACCCAGTGTTTTATACTCCACACGAACCTCCAGCCCTCATTTCCGTCCTCCTTTACCCTCTGTTCCCTTCTCTCTCTTGCATGCATCAAGCTATCTCTTAATTACATGGATGGTCTAATTCTTTGAAGCTCTCCAAAACGCTACCCCACATGAAGGGTGTTATATAAATGCAAGTTGTGCTTGTTTTTTGTTGTTAAAAAACATTCAGAGAGGGGAAAAAATTTGGAGTACACAAGCAATGTTGTAATTTTTTCCAAGTGAATGATCCAGTACAAACTATTTTCTGTGGTCTGATAACCCATGGGTCCAGTCTACTGTATCCCGGTCTGTTTTATCATTACATTATCATGTATCCGCACCTGAAATAATAATAATAATAATCCCTGCATTTGATATAGCGCCTTATCACATCTTCGCGATGTCTCAAAGCACTTCACAGAATATACTGTAAAGTAAATTGGCTGTATATTTTGTGGATGAATGCGGCAGCCAATTGCACACAGCAGTCTCCCACAAACAATCATGGATTGAGTGACTATCAATTTTTTTCTTAAGGCATTATTACGCCCGGAGAAACAATCCGCTGATTGACTAGCAACCGTGTTCCTATTTATTGCTAGGTACACAGGCGGGTAGAGTAAGGAAACTTGCCCAAAGTTTCGCCCTGCCCGGGAATCGAACCCAGGTCCTCTTAATTGCGAGGCGAGTTCTCTTACCACTAAGCTGCAGAACTCTAATCATTAAGACCATTTTTGCAAATTGAAGTGGCAAGATTATGTTTTTTGGGAAATTTATCAATTGTATGTGTGGACAAACAGAACTAAATGTTCTTACTGGCTCTATCTCTCACTGCTCCGAATGCTACATTGCTTATCAAGTGGCTCTTAACACTTTAACACTTCAATAGTTGGAGTTCTAAACTGATGGGGTGCCATGCTCACCATCCAGCAGTTTAAGTGTTATGGTACTGCTATGCTACAGATTGTGGCTTTGTACTCATTTGGACTGATTTATTTATTATTATTATTAAAAAATTATTATTATTATTTATCAAGTAATAGTAATTACTTGCAGTAATGAGCAAGATTAGTTTCTATTCTGCATTATCACTGATCTGCTTCCTAGGGCTAGTTAGTCTCAGATTGAGACCTTGTGAATACAGGGTGGGAAGAAGAGCACCTGACCAAGACTGCTCCACAACTTACATAGCTCATAAAGATAGTGTGACCAAGTTGTATCCTTTTTCTCTCCTCCCTCTGTGCGATCATAAAATATTATTGTGTCTATGGACTTTGTCCTACCATCAAGAAAATTAGGAAGTCACAAAGTCGAGCCCCTGCTGAGAAATGTATTGCCTGATTACACTGCTAAGAATGAGAGATATTGTCTGATTTGGTTGAATGACAATCGAATAAGGAGCTGGCAGTTTTGTATTGGCTTTCCATGCACCCCAGACTGCTCAGGTGTGAGTGAAGCTGAAAATCAGCTTACAAGGATATTTGAAATGGTATGATTTGTTTGCAAAATGTTTCCTGTTTCATTGATGGTGAAGCTGCCATTGTCAAGGAGGCAGGCAGTCTCCCACCCACTGGTAGAGACGAATGTTGCCATGTAATTGACTATAGTGTGTATCTCAAGTGATCTGCTGTTTTCTCTTCAGAAAGAGCTTCTTAACACCCTTCTCCCTCTTTTCCAGGTCCCAAATTTAGAGCCCATCTGAATTGGGATTATAACCCTTTCCAAAAATTTTTGTAAATTCTTATGAAATGCAGATTTTTAATGATAAAAAGGATTTTAAGCTACACAGCACTTTATGAAAGAGTTAGTATATGTGAGATGTGTAGGATCTGAAGCATGTGGCCCTACATTGTTTGTTTCCAAAAGTGAGAGGATTTATTGCCATAGGGTCAGGGAATTGCAAGTTTCCCCATTGTATGTTTAGCAGTAGTGCGTCAAGGCCACAAATATTCGCACAGGCTGCAAATATTTTGCTGTCAGGAGTTGTGCTTCCACCTAACAAGACTCCTATTTTTACAGTGCAAGGTGCAGTTTAACAATGGCTGATAAAAATAGCTCAATAATCAGGAAGGTGGTGTACGAAAAGGAAGCTTATACCAATTGCAGCAGTGATAAGACCTGAACTCGGTGTGTTTTTTAGAATGCAAACCATAGCCACTTCCCACATAGAAGTAAAAAAAATCATGCAAATATTGATGCCACCTCAATCAAACTTTCAGATCAGCAGAACAGCAAGTTTCCACATACTGTATTTGGGTGGGTGCCATAGTTAGAACTCGATTTCATTTGAACTGTATGTTGAATTATCCATATTGCAAATTGATAGCTAATGGGACCAAGTTTTTTTAAAAAGTGTGAATTAAATTCAGCAGTATAACAGGTGTACATTTGTAGTCAGGAAGTAGTCTTGTCTAATCAGAGGAAATGGTTTTTAAAAAAAANTGTTTTTCTTACTCAAACTGCAACTAGAATGGTTGCTTTTTCTTCTTTCTGGTGCTATAAAAAGTGTGGTATCTGTCGTGATATTAGTGGTTTCCGGGTGAACTCTTTAAATTTTCCATTGTACAGGATGCTGATGCTTGCATTCTAAATGCTGCAGAAACAAAGGAGGTATTAAACTGTAAATTAATTGGGTGTAATAGGTGCAGGAAATTGGTATGAAATGCAGAGATAGGCAAGTGATTTTTCTTATAAACAAAGTATGGAAGTATCAACTAATTTTCCTAATTCGCATAATGTGTGTTTTCTGTAGTGTGTTTCACTGATCAATGCAAACCTATGAACATTGTGTGCATTAGCCTGCTGTGTGGTTAACAGCTTGGTATAAATGTCCAGTTCCTGATTCTGAAGTTTCTGGTCAGCATAGATTATGGGGGAAGAAAAAGTTTAGATGTATCTTAACATAGTTGCAGTATTCACTTAATATGGTTATTGGTGGTAAGGTCATGTATTGCCAGAATCCCTCTGCTGTACCAAGGTAAAGCAGGTTTTCTGAAAGGTTAACTACTCAGGGCAGTTGCTTTGCACAGTAAGTTTAATTTTTACCAACACTGTATGGAAACTGAGAAAATATACTTGCATTGACATGAATTAAATGCATTCCGTCTTCCCTTCCCCCTCTGATACCACCCAAAAAATCTCATTCATGTTCCGAAATAATGGAATATAGTAAATATTGCAAATGTGTCCCTTCTGCAAAATGTTCTCGATCATCCCATCCCTCCATTGGCTAAAATAGATTTTTTTTCAAATTTAAGATCGCAAATCAAAAAGTACATCTGATTCTGTGTCTGTTAAACTGATAATTTTAGCTTGATTTGCATAATCAATACCGCCCATTCTTCATGTTGCATGTACAAACTGAGCAGATTCAAAATGTAGTTTCTTGATTTCAACTCAAAGTAATGTTCATACATGCAACTTGCTTTGTTATATTAACTAATTTTCAATTAACTTTGAAAACACATAATTGATTGATGCAGTGTTTGCAGAAAAATACATCTGTAGTTTTATTGGGTGTTAATAATAATAATAATCCTTGCATTTGATGTAGCGCCTTATATCTTCGAGACATCTCAAAGTGCTTCACAGGATATACTGTAAAGTGAATTGACTGTATATTTTGTGGGCAAAAGGGTTGAAACAACTGGCAAAATTTGATTTTTGAAACCACTGGCAAAATTAGATTCTTGAACAATGTATGTTAAATGAGAACCTTATAATGGCAGTCTAACTTGTGAGTTAAATGAAGAGCTATATCAGTTCCTGAATGAAGGAAACTTAGCTTTGAATCTAAAAGTGCACCACAATATCTGCAAAGTTGGGTTTCCGTTTTGAGAAACGATTATCAAATTATAGGAGTTGCAGATTTAAAATGCTGTACACTTAAGCATTGTTAGCAATAAAGGAGACTAGAGTTTGGGATTATTTATAAATTTACATAAGGGAATGAAACTTCATGGCAAACTAGGTCAGGCTGGCTGCATGTGCTCTGAGTGCTTACCCCTGTTGTGTGTAATGTGGTTGCATTGATGGAATGGTGGGTGTACTGCTCCCTGTGCTTTTAATTGGTTCAGAAGTATTTGAAATTGCAATGCGAGCATGATTTCTCAATGGGAATTCCAGAGCCTGCAAATAGCTACATGAACGCTATGGGACTTGCCTTACATGCAATCAATTGCTTTAAATTCTAATATGCTGTTTCACCACTTTGCCTCTAGAGTGAGTTAGTGAATGCATTTGGCCAGTTCACTGAGATGTCTCAATGGTCATAAGCCTGGTTTTGCAGCAGTTTTTGAGTCAGACGAATATTTTGACAAGTCCTGAATCAGTAATCTTCTATACTTCAGAAACTGCACGATCATGAGTTTCAGATTCTTATAAGAATAAGAATCTTTGCATTTGGTGTGATGCCTCATCAAGTCGTTGAGACGCCTCAAAGCGCTTCACAGGATATATGGTGAAGTGGTACCGTAAAGTCCCATTTAGGAGGACAGAGCATTTAGGACATGAATATGGTGCACCTGGGCAGCTGTTTTGCTATGGAAGCTGTTGCTACAGCCACATACTTCGTCATAGGAGAGAAATTGCAGTTAAAAATTGCTATTACATTCCTGAAGACATCTTAAGTGCTTTGAAGAGAGTCAGCCTCACCATGAAACTTGCATAGGTCAGAAATGAGAAGAGCAGCAAATCATCAATAACTTGGTAGTGGAAGATGCAATGTTTGCATGTTGAGCGTGCACTTTGTATTAACTGTCTACGGGTTTCCGTTTTTTATTTAGCATTACACCACAGACGCTGATGGACTATGTACACGACTAATCACACCCAAACTTATGGAAGGCACTGTGGCGGCTCGGGATGAATTCTCTAGAAGTGAGTAATAAATCAAAATGTTGCTAACTTAGACTGTGTTTTCAAGAATGGGTGTTGCTTATTCCGTAACACAGATTGTGTGTATATGTGTGTGTGTCGAGATGTTTGTTCGTGTTCTGTTCCTGTTGGTCAATTAGAACCTCTCATACAACACATGACATGGAGCTTGCATTTTCTATTCTATGAGACAAACATTTTTGACAGGCACAACCCTTGCTTCCCTGGAGTAAGGGTGGCCCTGGATGTTTGTTGTGGAGGTAAGCCTCAGTTGCAATATAGTCATAGAATCCCTCAGCACAGAAGAAGGCCAGACATTTAAAATGTGTCCAGCTCTTTGAAAGAGCTATCGAATTGGTCCCACTCTTTTCCCACAGCCTTGCAAATGTTTTTTTTTCAAGCAAATATTTTCAAAATCAAATATTTTGAAGTTATTAATGAATCTTTAAGGGAGTGTATTCCAATTAGATTTGAGTGAGAAGCTAAATTTAGTTGACCAGAAGTTATAAAAGTGTTTTGCTGTTTGAACACTTTATATTCTTTTCATTGTGAAGCATGCATTTGACCAATCAGTTGATGCATTTCTAAGCACTTGCCTGGTTGACCCTTAAATCCCTGTTGACCAAGAACTCTGCACACCAGACCCATCAGAACTGCTCAAATGTAATTCAGCTGCAGCACCAATTTTCAAGTTTTTTTCCTGCTTTCATAAAACGTATTCATGTGATAATTTTATATTTGCTTCTGAGCCATTTTACTGCAATACTGAGCTGTATTGGCATATTTCTGCAATGTTGTATTATGATTGACTGACCAAATGAGGCAGTTTTTGTTTCTGTAACCGATTTGGAGACCATTCAAAACCAGATGGATTGGAACCATGCTGCACCTTGAGTTAAGTTTCTGTGTCTGTTTTCCAGGTGGCTGGGCACTAAACATGAAAGATCTCAAAATATTGCAAACAATAGGAAAAGGAGAATTCGGAGGTACGTGAATCCACCTTTGATGTCCGATAGCTGTGCATGATGAGTCTCGAGCTGATTGAGCTGCATTTTTCCATCTAATGTGCACCAACCGATTGGTTCTTCTCACAGCTCAGTTTTTCAATTAAAAACAATCTTCCCAATAGCCTGAAGGCCTAGCGGGTAAAATGCTAGCCAGCAGAGCATTAAGCAATACAGTCCAGAAGTTCACAGATTTTAATGTGCTAAATTAGCTGAATTTAGCTTGGCAGCACTTGAACTAGGTGCTATTAGGCGTGGGGGGAATAATCAGCTCCTAATTAATATCCCGTGATCTTGAAAGTGTGTGTGCATCCGATGAAGATAATAATAAAACCTAGCATCGAATTGTGCATGGCAATGTCTGACAAACATTTTTACAGGAAAACTGACATGCTTTGAGCCATTTCGGCATAAGGCCCTGTATCAAATTATTTTACATTGTAAATCAATTCTCAAAAAAAATCATTGCCTTAATCAGGGTTCAATATCTGATCCTTACAAGCAAATCCCAGATTTTCCCAGTGAAATCTTAGACACTGACATGTTCATTTTGTGTAGCGCACAGACCCTTGATCTGTCGTCGTTCTTTCTCCAGATGTGACGTTGGGTGAACATAGAGGCAACAAAGTAGCTGTCAAATGCATTAAACACGATGCGACTGCACAGGCGTTTGTTGCTGAGGCATCTGTAATGACGTAAGTTCTACCAGCACTGTCTGGTGCATCTGAGCCTGCTTTCTAATAATAGCTTTGAAAATCCTTCTGTCTATTAAGAAGCACTGTCGATTCAATTCTTTCTGCCCACTAAGAATCAATGATTGGTTTCTTTCACTTGGAGTGTAAGTTGGTTTTGATTTCAAAATTTAAAATGTGTCGAAATCTTTAAGATGGTACTGGCACAATTTCAATAAATGCTTAATACTTTAAGAATAATTTTTCAGAAATCTAATGTAGAAATGGAATCAAAATTTAAATACTCCGGCAGAGTGATGACTGCTGCTTTCTATTCTCCAATGCTTTTAAAGTGGTTCTTTGATTAATTGGAACGTCAATCAAATTGTTGCCTTAATTTACAAGAGCTGAGGAAGAGATGCAAACAATAAAGCAGTAAGAAAGTGAATGAGTAGCTTTTCGGGACGAGTGGTAGGGGTAGAGGAAGAGGAACATTGTGTGACGTGGAAAACTAGTTGTGAGGGGAGAAGAAACTATGCTTGAAAAATAGCAAAACAAATGAAGGAATGATCATTCATCACATCTGACCCATTTGACTATTGTCGCTCTTTTATCCATGGGATGAAAATGGGAAAAGGAATGAAATTAGCCAAGTCTGGGGATATTACTGAATCATTAGCAAGGAAAGCGCAACAACTTACATAACACCCTTCATTGGGGTAGCATCTCAGAGTGCTGAGTAAATCTGGGAGAGGGACAAGAGTATTTAGCAATTAAGCTAATTGAGGAAAATGCACATCACTATTTTTCTTCACTGTCATGAGTTAAAGGTTACAAATTGGGTTGGTTTGGGGTTAATGTGGACTAAATGCAGCTGCTGCTCTTGCAATTTGTTACTGCTCAGATGTTCGGGCGTGGCTAGCTTGTAGTCCTCAGCATTGTGGGTGCAACAAAAAATTAAACATGATCCTCCCTCACATAGTCTGAGTCAGATTTCACAACCTTTGCTTTCTGTTTTAATTCATCAGCTTTACCAGTTGATTGCCCTTACCCAGTGTTAGGAATTGTTTTGTCATAGTTTACGTGCCATTTACGTGTCAGTTATCTTCCCATCTTTGCGTATTGTTTAAGATCATAAATTTAACCTCAGTACCCAACACTGTTATGTGACAATTTTTAATGGAGCTCTAAATTTATTCTGTTCTCTGGAGCAAGTCAGCTTTAATAAGATCTGATTAGTTACATCCATAGTTTTGTAATTGTTTCGATAACAATGGCAGGCTTCAGAACTAATGAATATGTGTTTTATATTGCAGGCAACTCCGTCACAATAACTTAGTTCAGCTTTTGGGTGTCATTGTGGAAGAAACAGGGTCTCTGTACATTGTAACAGAATACATGGCAAAAGTAAGTTTAATTATTTTTAAATGTATGAGGAACCCCAATACTGGTATACAATACTGAGAGGTTAAATGAAGTAAATAAGCAGAAATTGTTTCCACTGTATGTCAGTTACTAGAGGGTATAATTTTACGATTATCGCTTTAAAAATATTCTAACACTTCCAATTTTTAACAGGCGTTTAATGAAAACATGGAATGCTTAGCAAACATTGGATGAAGCATAAACACCTTTAAAAGGGGAAAGAAACTCAATAGATGGCACTTTCAAAGAGGCTACATAGACAGGATATGCTTTGCTATGATGTACCAATTTACATCTGAACCAAAAAGTAGCACGGAAAGCAAATCTGGATCTGTATGGGCTTCTTGAGTGCATGTACATAGTCTTTACCAATAAAAGACCCATATCTGGAGTTTTGTTAAACTTGAATCTAAAATTCATTCACTGAATCGTGGTCATAATTTTTACTGTGATATAATTCATTATACAACTAACTGTTGTCTTCCCTTTTAATCCCTTCTCCCCCCAAAAACAAATCCTGTTTGGTTATTTTCATTGCTTTTATCTATAATCTGACTAATCTAGTTTAAATAATTCCTATGGAACTGTGCAGAAGTAGGTGGAAGGGTGTGTTTTTATAGAAATTCTGCTTTTTGTACAGAAATGTTATACAGTGGTGTGGTAACTTCCCCTCTTGATATTAATACTAAGTCCAGTGCATTCTATAGCGTTGTCGGAACAACTTGAATGTGGTTCACAAGAACTCATCGCTTGCCTTTTTCTATGGTATAATGTGACAACTTTTCATGGTAATAATGTGGTGGTTTCCTTCGGGCTGTTGGAATCCCCCACCTAGTGCCAAATTAACTTGGGATTTTACACTTCTAACTCAGATTTTTGTGCCTTTTTAAAAACAAGCTCCATAACTCTTGGGTTGATCTGTAGACTTCTGCCTGACCATTATTAAGATAAAATAATGTTGTGATAATTTCAGAATAACTAAGACTTGTGCTGCAAAATTAATCTATTCTTACCCCAATATTATTCTTTCAACCTTCATATCAGTCTATTTGTGACTTGTCTTTCTACTTCCCCCTCCACCAAGATTTTAAATGGTAGTTCCTCTAAATGGTAAACTGAAAATAATTATGTGGATACCTTTGATCATTACCAGGGCAGTTTGGTGGATTATCTGAGATCAAGAGGAAGGTCTGTTCTAGGTGGAGAATGTTTACTGAAGTTTTCCATGTGAGTATGTTAATGAGGATTGTATTTGTTCAGAACATGCTTGTCTGGTGCTGCAATGAACCTTTGGGTCATTGGAGCAGTTCGCTACGTCAGTGCACAAAATTATTTGATTCTCTTGTATAATTGAGACAATTACTATCCAGGTAAATATTTCCTTCTCTTGTACCATGCTTCAATCCCTATGATTTAAGACTGGTAAGTGACCTATTCTTAGGCCATTGTAATTCAGTAATAGATTGCCAGGCCAAACCAAAGTAGATTAGTGTAACTTGTTTGTCCCTTCTCGTCTCTTCAAGATTACATTTTATTGTTTGACAGTTGAATGTAAAACCGGCTTGAGGGATTTATCATTGTAATTGAAATAACTTTAAAGGGTTAGCGGGTATATGGGAAAACTTACACGTGGGGGAAATGAGCATCAGAGAAAGTAGTAAAGGTCTTGCAAAGAGTTTTAGGGGATACGCACATGGGCTGATGCTGCATATAGGCAGTAAAAATGTGAGACACCTGTACTCCATGAGTGGTTTGCCAGGAGAGAAGATGAGAACGACTTTGGTGCAAGGGAGATTTTATAGTAGCCACGTACTGGGAAGACCATAGTCATTCTCCCTCTAGCTTTCTCCCTGTGAGGAAACTCCTTGGTTCAAAGTTCATGTTCTATGCAACAAGATCAGACATTGTGTTGAGTGAATCATTAGCACACCTCTTAGTGTTACAGAGCTGTCTTGGCTTTTACTGATTAAATTGAAGTGTCCTTTAAAATGGTCTCCAAATCAGCTCTTAATTTGTTTTGTATTTCAGCGATGTCTGTGAAGCAATGGAATACCTGGAAGCAAATAATTTTGTACATAGAGATTTAGCTGCTCGAAATGTCCTGGTCTCCGAAGATAACATAGCTAAAGTTAGTGATTTTGGTCTAACAAAAGAAGCCTCATCAACACAAGACACAGGGAAGCTCCCAGTGAAATGGACTGCACCTGAAGCTCTTAAAGAAAAGGTAAAAGCATCTTACAAGTATAACAGATTTTTCACACATACATCTGTATTATTTGGCACAGAGACGTGCTTAAATATTGCATGAAAGGTTCTCCCCCTCTGACCCTTCAAATGACAACAACAAATTACATTACATTTGTAAAGCGACTTTCCCGTCGGGAGGAATGATGGTGAGTAGTAGTATAAGTAAGCTATTATTCTCCCCAGAAAAAAAATATTTTTGCTCCAGCTAATGATAGCATATTTTAGCCCTGTGAGCTACGTAAAACGCATCTCTTGTTCCTGTGCTTGGTACAGTCTAAATGCGCGTAGTCGTGTTAGCCTACTTTAGTCACTGCTATTATACCTTACAACATTGAAACACCGTGGCTCGAGTGACGTTTTTCTACGAGGAGCAATTACGGGTGTAATACGGGTTATTATGCTAAGATCACAAGCTGCTCTGGTTGCAAGTGAATATTCTGGAACAAATTCAATAGAAACCTTTTTGTAGGGCTCCCCAGTGGCAAAGCTTCAAGCACCCCTTCTTCCTGTGGTACTTTCTCCCATTGTACACACGTTTAAATGCAGATTTGGCCATCTCTTGCTGACCTGAAATAATTAGTTTTCCTTCGGCTTGGGAGAGCTCTGGATTGTCTTGTGGTCCTGGAGTGCAGTTTTTTAACATCTCCCAGCAAGGACCAGAGTCATTCAAGAGACATCTGTCCTCAATTAGTTAAGTCTAGCTAAACCATTTTATCTATTTGGCACAATTTGAAATTTTATGTGATTTCTAAACTGTAAGAGTAAAATAATCTTGGATGTTACAGTTCTATTCTTTTTATTATAGAAATTTTCTACTAAATCAGATGTATGGAGTTTTGGGATTCTTCTATGGGAAATCTACTCCTTTGGGCGAGTGCCTTATCCCAGAATGGTAAGAGGCGATGCATTGCTTTATTGTTGTGGCCACTGTCTGTACAGAAATAGCACCTTTTGGGTCTTAATTTGTGATATTCCTTACCTGGATTCCTTAATAAGGAACCTGTAAGCAAATTAACCTCATGGAATTCCGTATTCAGGAATCCTGATTTAAAAAGAAATTGCATTAGATCCTCACATGGACCTTTATGATGTTGAAGGTTTGTGCCACAAAATATAACCTGATGCTAGAACACAGTTCAAACCAATGTGAATGCAAATGTTCCAAATGTATGAAATGAGAACAGCAAGGGAAATGAAACTGATTTTTTTATCTAGTTTGGATGCACAAAGAAAGTAGGACACTGACAAACTTGAGCAACAGCAATGTGTAGTAATTGGAATCCTCTTCAATATAATCGAGCAAATTAATCATTCCGGCAGTGTCCCAGGCTACTGTCAATTTGAGTTGACAGTGGGTCTTATTCCACAGGAGGCAATTGATAATGTCGCAATAACAAAACAAATGTCTGTTTGGCCTCCGGTTCATTTGCTGTATAGCTGATCTGTGCTCATTGGCTTAAAAAATGTGATCTAAGCCAGCAAGGGTTCATGCAGAGAAACATTAACACATTACTGTACTAACACTGAAAGTTCATATCAGGAAGTTACACCAGGAACAAATGTTATACAACCTTCTGGTGAAAGTGCAGGAAATATATCTCCAATATAAATTATATTGATATATAATGCAAAGAAAAAATTAACTTCTTATTTGGCACATAATATATATTTTTAAAATTGATATGGTGGGAATTCATTTTCACATTCAAAGACCCTTCATGATACTTTAGGCAACAAATGCCATTACCAATAAATACAGGGAAACCTCATTGTAAGCTGAGTCCCAATATCCCAGGCACCATGTTGTAAACAAGACATGAATAAATGACCAAGCTCAGAGTTGCTGACATCAATCGTGCATATAATCCTTGCTTTTTGATATAGCGCTTTTCACGTCTTCTAGACGTCTCAAAACACTTCACAGAATATACTGTAAAGTGAATTGATTGTATATTTGTGGGCGAAACTCGGGGGCCAATTACGCACAGCAGTGTCCCACAGACAGTCGTAGATTGAAGTGACCAATTTATTACTTTTTTTTTCTTGAGGGATTATTATTAGGGGTGTGGAGTAAGGAAACTTGCCCAAGGTTTCACCCCCCCTGCCGGGAATCAAACCCAGGTCTCTCGCTTGTGAGGCGAGTGCTCTAACCACTGAGCTACAGGACTCCACTGCACATATTGCGTGTGTGCAGAGTGCAGGAAGTGACATAAACTGGGATCTGATGGCCTAGAAGTTGGCCATTTTAGCGTGGGAAGCAGACTCGTCAGCACCAGAAGCTAGTGGTAAAGTGTTTCCAATTAGCACAGGTGCACAGCTGAAGTAAAAATAGCAGAAACCGAGAAGTAACATCTCGGTGCATTGACTTTAGAACAAAATGTTGTAAAGTTAACTTGTACTTGTGTTGTACTTTTGGGATGTACTGTTTTTCACTCATTTCTTCTGATAGTATTTTCAATGCTATGTAGTTTTCTCTGCCTGCTCTGTTTTCAGTACGAGGAGTGTATTTGGAGCTTGCATTTCTGGTTTGTGCTGTTCTGTCAAATTAAATCGCTTCTTTGTTTGCTGAGCACAGGAGTACACCCTTGTGGAAGAAATGTGCATTGCACTCCAATTAATTATAGTAATCTATTCTAATTGTGAATAAATGAACAAATGTACGTTTTGGGAGATGAGGAATGCACTTGTGATGTATTCTGTTTTGATGATTTTGCTCATTGTATACTTCACTGGCTGACCTACCAGCTACTGGAGATTTAATTTACCTTCCCCCTTCATCCCTTTCCCCTCCAATGTTGTGTAATCTAGTACACATAAACTGGACTAATTCCTAAAAGCGATTAGAAAACAATGCTGCAGTATCATACTTTCTATTGTGCCTTTTCCAATTGTGCTTATAAATTGTGTATCAAATAAATAACTATATGTGTTCCAAAGATACAGAAGTGTGGATCTTGCAACAAGTTGTCAAAATATTTGAATACAATATTGCGAAAATAACTTAAATAATGGATGTCATCGTTCTGTTATATCCATCCTGGCACAGAAGTGGCTTTACTGGAGCATTGATTGCATTTGCTGTCAAACCTTTCAGAACCTTGAGATAATGGAACCTAAAACTCTGCAATTTCATGCCCAGATTTCTCAATAAAGACTTTTGAGTCGAAATTGGAGATTGCTTCTGGCAACCGGAACAACCCAGTGGGAACTACTTTCAGAACAGGATACCACTTGACAATTACCAGACAGAATCCCCATTTTCAACTAGGAGGTGGTTATTAAGAAATCCAGTTTAGTAATGCTCAGTAGGATTTAGGGCAGTGGCAGCCCAACCTTTAGGGTTGAGTTAGGAGGTACATTGATGAAACTGCTAGGTGGCTTGCCTGACCATGGGTTATTGGCATCCATGGATTCACACATGGATTCAAGGTTGGTAATTAAGGTGGAGACGGGGAGGTGGGAATAATACTGAGTAAGAAGCAAAGAATTAACTTTCATTTATTTTTTCAGCCTCTGAAAGATGTTGTTCCTCGTGTTGAGAAGGGATACAAAATGGACCCGCCTGATGGTTGTTCTCCTGCTGTTTATGATCTGATGAAAATATGCTGGGAGCTTGACCCTGATCGGAGACCAACTTTCAAGCAATTACAAGAAAGGCTACACCATGTCAAAACAAAAGAACTTTATCTGTGACACCAGAAATGCCGTCGAACTTTAAAACAAAAACTGCTCGACATTAAACCAAGAGTGCTGAGACTTTTACAAGGCGGTCTTCTTAAACATATGAACCCAGCATATCATGGCCTCGTGACTTGTTTCCCTCTATGTGTACTGTGATGCAGTGTCCCTCAATCCCCCATTAAAGAAGCATGCTTAAACACGTCTGTCAAGTTCAGTCCTTGTGGTATTTGTTCTGTGCCAAGTGCCTCCAGCCACAAAGACGGTGCTTATTTGCTTATCTGTACTTCGCAAAACATTGTTTCTACCAAATGCATTTCATGATGACAAGGTTTGGTAATAAAAAAAATTCTTTAACTAGAATAACACAATTTCATGTTTGCTTTTCCCCATCTGAATTTGCTTAGCCGGGTTTTTAATACTTAAAAGGTAGTGATCTTTTTTTAAAAAAATGATTTTTTTATGTTCTGTAATGTTTACTCATTTGATGTAAACTCATTGATGCATGTAGTGTGGGAAGCATTCATTCCTGTCGGTGCATTACATTCATCTTAGCTGCCAAGGATGAGATTATAATAATGAAATAAACCATTCCATGTGATCATTTCTTAAGGTGGTTATGTTTTGATTTGGATAATATTTGGTCAGTATTGATGCCTTTATGGGCCATTCTTCCAGGACTGGAATTTAGAGGATGGGTAATCTTCAACTGAGATATGCCAATAGACACAAGAGGAATGAATCGAAATGCCACCAAGCAAGATTTCCAACCTTTTGCTGGACTGACTTCAATAATTTGGACTTGGCTAAGAGGAAGGCAGAGTTGGGACCACCATGGATGTAGCTACAGAAAACAACTACGTTTTGTAGCATTTTGTACATCATTTCAAAGCACTTTACACCAATTGTCAGTTGACTGTTTCATTACAAACAATGTGGCAGTCATTTTGAACCTCATAATGAGGTGAACAATCACTTCATCTGAAGGATTGGTGGCCAAAACACCAGGAGAAGCTCCCTTCTCTTTTCTAACGTCAGAATTGTTACTCTACTCAAGGACAGGCGATGATCTGATCAGCTTTGGCTGGATCCAAAGTTGATGGGATGTTGTACTTAATTCCTGGTCAACAATTCTCCAATTATTCCTTTCTGTTTTTCAGTCACTGACCTCTGAAATTTGGGGTTCAGTTTGATTTGCGATCTTACAAAGTTTTACACTGTTAACATTTAACAGTGATCTGGGACAGGAAAATTTTAACTTTCTTTCAACTATTTCTGTATAGTATAGTAATGGTTAAAATCTTGGTTCATTACCTTAATTCTTGTGAGTGATTGTCATTGAGGTTGCATCATCCCCAAACTCTAACTGGAACCTCTTGCATCTAAATCCTTTGAGTGAGCCTTGGGACCAGGTGTTTGCATCTGCCCTCTCAATTCTACATGAGTACAGTGATAAACCTTTTAAATTACTGAACAGAAAGTCTGCTGGGATGCAAGTGCATGATTAGGTTTATACCTCGTCAGAGAAATTCTTATCTGGATTCTTCACAATCTCTATCAGCAATTTCATTTACACTTATGTTTTCCCTGAGAGAGACGCGTTTTAATTAGATTAATCAAGAGCTGGAAGGTGTTCGTAATGCGTGGGTCTTGGGGAAGGGGTTAAGGAAGAGGGAAGATTATCTTCAAACACTTTAAATATTTTTCAGTGTACAGAACCACGTTAATGGAGACAGCTGCCCTTGAGGAATGCCCAACTGAAAAAGTTTTTAGGTTGCCATGGGAAACTGAAGAGAAATATTGGGGAAAATAATCTCCCAACTCTCTCACACAAAAATGATTGGCCTTGATGTGAGTTGCATTTCCCCAGAATATGCTCCTCCTTGTGAATGATTGGCAGAAGGTAAGATGACTGAGAAGCTATTGGCAAGCTGTATGCAACATATGTTGACCAGATTAGTCAAACATTTTTTTATTCATTGGCTCTAATAGGCTTTACTCTGTGAGTGCCTGTTGTGCAAATCTCATTTGCACAGTTGCGTACGGTGTAAGGCATCCTGTTTATGTAAGAAAGTTGTCTATTTAATAACTGCTGAACTACCTTTTGGATATATAATAATGGAAATATTTTGTTGATAAACTTAAACCAGGGTTTCCAATCCCACCACTATTACAGTATACGGCCAAAGCCAAGCCATAGCTGGAGCAGAGGGAAAGAATTTAGTGAATACTTCAGTCTGGCTGTAGAACTATATCCAACTGATTAAACACAGAGGAGTATTGGTACAGACCTGAGAGCAAAATCCCTCCCTGCATCCAAAGGACTGTTTGCAAAAATAAATACGGGTGAAATTAGGATTTTGTTTACACTAAGTTGTTACTTTTTTGTTACAAGTAACTTGAGGCTGGATGAATAGAATTATTTATTGATAATTTTGTGGGTTTCGCCCACAAAATACAGTCAATCCACAATATATCCTGTCAAGCGCTTTGAGACGTCTCAACATGATAAATTGCTATGTCAAATGCAAGGATTATTATTATCTGAAAAAGAAAATGGATAAGCAGTTTATCTAAGCAGGAAAAACACGAAGGGTTATCGGGAAAGAGCTGGGAAACAAGATTAATGAGAAAGGTGATTTAGAAAAATGGGGAGAGGTGACACACACAGGAGGAGGTAGTGGACAACTGTTGAAAAAAAAGTTTCTATCTCAGCTGACGAACAAAACAGTGGAGACATAGAAAAATAAATTAAAAAATGCAAAATTCTGTTACCCATTAACAACATACTAACCTGTCCACTCCTTCCCCGCAGCGGGCACTGGCTTGCTTCATGTCCCCTGCTCTGCCTGCGCCCTATCATTGGCGGGCAGACTTTCAGCATTTCTTCCCCCACTACCCTGGAATCCCTTCATCTCACCCTCTCCTTTGCCTCCTTCAAGGCCCACCTCAAGACTTTCCTCTTTGATCGTGCTTTTAGCCACCCTCTTGATTCCAACCCCCAGTTTGGTTGCAAACCCTTAACTGTCCAGTGCCATGGGATGTCCTTCCGACATGCAAAAGCCTTTGTAAATGTAATTTTGTTGTGAATACGTAACAAGCTGAAAGGAAGCTATGTTTTTTTCAGAAAGTAGAATTTGTATTAAATTGTATTAAAATATGAATCACTTTTATTATTGAAATCACAACATAGGTGTAGAAAGTTTGCTTTTCACACAGGGCTAAGTTGTATCATCTGTAACCTTTAGTCTTTATTTACTGCAGATTTTTCTTACTCTAGGTATGTATGTTTCACTTTATTTTGAAATTTTGGTGAATATCTGACCATTTGCTTCGTCTCAGACTCAGGTGGACAAAGTTAAGAAATTCTTCTCTGCCCAAAGATTGAATTCCTATACTTGTATTGGGAAGTTAACATAATTATCTCACAAGCAGTGAAAACTCAATAGCCACCAAACCTTGTAACACAAGCAGAAACAAAAGAGTTCAGTTTAACTCCTGAGTTCAAAAAGGCTCAAAGCTACTAATAATTAGCTCTCCCTGGGTTACTGATGAGTTTGATTAGCATTCAATGCAATCATTGGATTACTGGTTACACACTGAAGAAAGCACAGAAGGAATAAGCAATCTGAGATTGCAAAGTGATTTTAGGTCTAGAATCCAGTCATGAGGCCACCTAAACCCATCCTCCAATTAACAGTGTGTTTTTACCACACTCTCACAGTCAAGTTGACATCATTTCTATACTGACTCTACAGTGGGGGAGAACTCATAAACTAAGGACTTGGGGGAAGGAGAGAGCAGCACAATTTAGCAGCGAATAGCTGGGGCTATCAACACAGGAGGGATGATCCAAATGCCTCCCCCTCTGCCCCACGGCTCATTAAAGTTGTGGGTTGTTTCAAGCATGAATTGGGCTTCACAATAATAATATTTATTCAGAATTCTTCCCAATAAGATTCTGAATATTTATATTGTAACAGCCCTCAGTTTGGATAGAGATGTGTAAATGTGGGGCTCCAGCACCATCCGCAGGCTGGACTGACTGAACAACATCTTTTACACCACCACTTCTGTCTGGTGGATTATTGTAATGTTTTTTTTTGATCCAAATTAGCTCTGCGTCCTCTGGCACCGACTTTATGGGCTTACAAAACTGGAGGGTTAGCAGGCGTGAGGAGACGCAGAGCAGGGCTTGGTAGCTACTAACAGGGCATCGATTGATTGATTGATTGATTGATTGATGAGTGATTGATTGATAGATGGATATGAAGGAGGTGCCAGTGACCAGGTGCTCCCAACAGGGAGCTATTGACCCAAAACGACAGCCAATGGGCTGGTGCCTGGTGGCTTTTGCCTGGAGCTGAGCTGAGCTGTGGGGTGGTGGTGGTGGCTCAGTGAGGAGCATGGCAGCAGGGAGGGGGTGGTGGTGGTGGCTGGCAGTGGCTTGCCTGCTGCTGGCAGTGGCAGGAGCACCAGCCCAAGCCCAAGCCCAGAGTGGGGAGCTTCCTCACCGCAGGTTCGAGTACAAGTACAGCTTCAAGGGACCCCAACTGACTCTGGACGATGGCACTGTCCGTTTCTGGACTCACTATGGCAGTAAGTGTGTGTGTGTGTGTGTGCTTTATTACTGGCAAAAGTTTTTCTTTTTTTTTAAAAACAAAATTGTACACCACTCTTTCCATTTAAATATTCCGGCTGCAGTCTTGACGTGTTGGTGTTTTAACGGTTGCTATTTTAATTAGTATGCATTTAAACTGCATACTAAGTAAGTAAGTAAGTAAGTCACCCATTTTGGGTTTCCCCCCCAACCCACTGTTTTCATTTGAATCTGTTTTAATATGTGTGCAAATTGCAACAGAGGAGCATTGCAGTTATTGGTATTGCAATGAGTTTTCACTGTTCTGATTAATGTCTCTTTCTCTTTCTCGACCGACCTTTGGTGAACTGACTGTAATGTCAATCGCTGGCGATTGGGTTGTTTCTTCCAATGTGCTGTGTTTGTCAAATAACGGGGGATTTATTCCCTTCTCAGATGTTCCCACGGTTACAAATAAAAAGATCTGTGTGTGTATATATATATATGTGTGTGTGTGTGGTGTGGGAGGGCACGAATTCTCATTCAGGACTATTTCCAAAATAACAGGTTACTTTCTCTCAACGATACACACACACACACACACACATATATATATTTATTTCGTTATATTTATTTCGTTATTTGTTTATATATGTACACACACACACACTGTGTTTGCTTGTAAAGTATAACCTTGTATTTGACATTGCCTTCCTGTCAAAAACGTCTCCAAGCACTTCGCGAGATTTTCTGTGATGTGAAGTGTAGTGACTGTATTTGTAGGCAAATATTTCAGCTCGTTTGCGCACAGCAGTGTGCCGCCAAGTGAATGACGACCAAGTATTGTAGGCCAGGGAACGGGGAGAAACTTTTTGAACTGGTTTCTTGTCATTTTGAATAAGCTATGAGATTTTTTTAACACCCCGCACCCCCCCCATTCTACTTGGACTCCCACCGTTCTCTAGGAATTTGTGAAAGTCATAGTACAAGTACAGTTTGTTCTGCGCTCAAGTTGGCTGATCTTAGTCGAGGCTCAATCTGGAAGCCCCATTGACCTCAGTGCACCTGGGCCAGTGAGGGTAAAAATTAGCCAAGGTTCGTTCTCTTGGTTGCTATCCATTAATGCCGCCTGGCAAGTTACATTAGATGAGAACAGACTGTGTTTGTGTACTCCCTACTTCCCACCTCCCCCCCTCCCCACCCATGGTGACCTTCACTCTCGCGTCGTGTATGGAATAACTACTTGAGCAAAATACTCAGGTGTGAATGCCACTTATGCAAATGTATCGCAGCAATGAGTTACAACCTTCAGAAAAGTAAAGTGGGATACTTGCTCTCGCTTCTGAGTCAGAAGGTTGTGGGCTTGAGACGTCGGAACTTGGAATCGCAAGTAATAAAACATCATAATGTATGAGCACTTACACGCAGTTGCCTTAACAGAAATCTTCAGACTTGTACTCGGTGAGGTTTGCAATCATAGTCTCAGACTAGCAAGAGGATGGCTGACCCAGTCAGCGAAAAGCTGCAATAGCAGTCAACTGTGGGGTTAGACCAAACCAAGCGTTTACCTGGTTGGGTTAGGTGCGGTGTAGGTACTATTGTACGATTCAAATAAAAATGATGCACTCAAAGGGTAAAGCTAGAATTTTGATGCACTGTAACAAACTCTACTCCACTGGGAACCACAGATTACAGTTCTGAGCCTGTAATGATCAGGTTATGACGTCTTGTATCCAAACCAGGTTCTCCAACCCATGATAAACTAGTGCATCTGCCTGATCTAATACCTGTTCTTATGGCCAATATTAAGCACCACTTTAAACCAGCCTCTATAATGATGTACAAGAATGCTATTAATAATAATAATCCTTGCATTTGATACAGCACCTTATCACATCATCGAGCCATATCAAAATGCTTTCCAGAATATACTGTAAAGTGAATTGACTGTATATTTTGTGTGCAAAACATGGCAGCCAATTGCGCACAGTAGCATCCCACAAACAATCATGGATTGAGTGACGATTTTTTTTATTACCATCAGAAAGTGATCCAGCAATCGACTAACAAGTGGGTTCCTAATTACTGCTAGGTAAACAGAGGTGTGTGGAGTAAGGAAACTTAAATATGACCGAAACACAATTATTGAGACTTTAGTAATAACTAAACACACACAGGCTTTTCTTGCAATGGTAGATGAATGGTTAGTCCAGTAATTGGTTATTCTGCCCATGTGAACAACCACCACCAATTTTTTTTTGAGAGCAGCGATGACTGGTCCTGTTTCATGTTTCCACAGGTGCCCTCCCTAGCTCTGAGCGAGTCCGTGTTGCTCCTTCTTTACGCAGTCAGAAGGGCTCCATTTGGACCCAGAACAAAGTTACTTTTGAAGACTGGGAAATCGAGGTTGCCTTTCGGATCAGCGGCCTGGGCAGGATCGGTGCAGATGGATTGGTGCGTTTGCTTCTCTTCACTTGATCTAAGCATTGGGCGAGGATCAGGACTCTGCCATCCATTGGATCAGTGTGGCTTTTGGTCAATGAGGAAATAGGAGTTCTTAGAGAATCCTTTAAGTTATATCTTATGTGCCTGTCACTGTCATACCCTTGTCACTAGTTACATTGCCAGGATAACTTCAGTAAATCATTCCTGTCCCCACAGTATTAATGGAGGCAGAGAGAGCAAGCAAATACTCCTCTGGAACACTGCATGGCTGAGTTCTGTATATTAATGTATGGAAAATTATGGGGAGTTTATAGTTAAGTTTCTAGTTTTGTTTCTACTAACGGCTTTTCCTCCAGCCCCCGCACTGTCTCGTGCAGTGTCCCTCGGGGCTCTGTCCTCGGTCCTCTCCTCTTCACCCTCTACATGCTCCCCCTTGGTGACATCATCCGCAGACATGGGGTTAACTTCCACATGTATGCGGATGACACCCAACTCTACCTTTCCTCCTCTACCCTCAACTCCACGACCACCGATGTCCTGACAGCCTGCCTCTCCGACATCGAGTCCTGGACGAGAGATAACTTTCTCCAGCTCAATGTGCGTAACACTGAGGCCCTCCTGATTGGCTCGCGTCAGCGCCTCCGCACCTCAGCATCAGCATCCAAGGCTGCACTCTCCACCTCTCAAAGCCAGTCAGGAACCTCGGGGTTCTGTTCGACCCTGAGCTGTCCTTTCTCCCTCATATCTGCGCCACAACTGGTACCGCCTTCCATCATCTCTGGAATGTCGCCAGACTACGGCACTACCTCACCCCTCACGCTGCTGAAACTCTGGTCCACGCCTTTATCACCTCAAGGCTGGACTATGGGAACTCTCTCCTCGCCGGCCTTCCCGGCCCTCCCTCCACAAGCTGCAGGTCATTCAGAACTCTGCAGCTCGTGTACTGTCCCGCACCAGGCTTCGGGACCACATCACTCCCACCCTCGCTCGCCTCCACTGGCTCCCCATCCCCCAGAGGATCGAATTCAAGATCCTCATCCTCACCTACAAGGCCATTCACGGCCTTGCTCCCTCCTACCTCTCCGACCTACTATCCCCCTACCTACCTGCCTGTACCCTCCGTTCCTCTGGCTCCGGTCTGCTCCACATCCCCCGCCCCAACCACCCTACCATCGGTGGCCGGGCCTTCAGCCTCTCAGCCCCAAGGCTCTGGAACTCTATCCCTCAGTGCCTTCGCTGCCTCCTCCCTTTCCTCCTTCAAGGCCGGTCTCAAGACCTTTCTCTTTGACCGTGCCTTCAGCTCCCCTCTCAACTCTCTACCCCCTCCTCGCTCCTTCCCTCCCCTTACCCTGACCATTTCCCCCCGGCTCGGGTCCTGACCCAACTGTACAGCGCCTTGGGACGTCCTCCCGACGTGAAAGGCGCTCAATAAATGGAATCTTGTTGTTGTTGTAAGCAGAACATCAGGGAAAAAATCTTTACACTGAGATTTAAAATTAAATCTGCAACACACAATGGATGTCACGAGTCCATGACACATTTGATGGGGGAATTAGATAGAATCGATTAGATAAACTGAGGACTATTTAACGATGTAGGCAGGAGAGTGGGTTTACTTGATGTGTATTAACTTTTCGCCTCTTTCATACCAGGCCATATGGTACACCAAAGAGAGGGGTCCGACAGGACCAGTGTTTGGAGCAATGGACAACTGGGATGGCGTTGGGATCTTCTTTGACACCTTTGATAATGATGATGGTGTGAGTACACAAAGGATTGTGTTGAATCAGTGCTTGATGTGCCCCTTTGCTCTGCCTCCTGCTCACCTGAAGATAACTAGTATGCACACGAGGACAGCTCCATCAGTGTTGGTCATTCAAGTGCCGATTGCTCTCTTGTGATACTGAATACCTCAGCAGCCAATCTGACTGGAGTGAGAGAGGGGTGTTGAAGATTGAGAATCCTGGCCGATTTTTGCCTCCCGTAATGCACAATTATTACCTAATTATAGCTCTTTTTTTGTTTGCTCTGGTTGAAATCTGTTCAGTCTACTTGAGACTCCAATTTGAACATGTGACCTTTCAGTTTGTGTGTTGTGGCGTGTGATGCTTTTACTTGAAGGCATTCAGGTTGCTGTGCTTTAAATTGACGCTTGCAGAAAGGAACCAACACCATAGCATTAACCTCTCTGGATTGTGTTACAGAGCTAGCTGGGCCTGCCCGCACAGTAGCAAGAGCAGACTTGTGTGAGGATGACCATCCTAAAAGGACATATATCTCTAGTGAAATGAATTTGTAGTTGATGGGACTTTTCTTAAGATCGTTAAAATGGATTCTTCCACTGCATTGGTGAATAGGTTCAGTATCCGTCCCTATTGAACAGTCGAAAGTGTCTGACACTTGGTGCAGAAGTTCACGATAACAGTCCACCATGACCATTGCCCCCCCACCCACTTTTAAACTTGCTGCACATCATGTGTCGTCTGTACAAGTATTGTGATGCAGTTGTTGTGCATTATGTAAGCTTTATCTTTATGGGGCGTGAATGGTTTTTGAACACAAAGGTTTTTCTTTGATTCTCATTGACTTTTTTTTAAAAACAACCTTGTCCTCAGAAAAACAATCCAATCATCCTCCTAATGGAGAACAATGGGAAACTCACCTACGATCATTCCAAGTAAGTTGTTTTTTTATCAAATCCGTGGTTCGGTCAAACATTTCTTAGCAAGTAATTGGCTCAGAGGGAATCGCATCAGTTCAGCAGACAGAACCATCACTTTCCAAGCTGCAATTTTAACCATTTTACCCTGATTGAAATGAAAGAAATGGAGCCTGCACTTGGTCTATTGTTATCACAAAAATTGTGCTTCAAACCAGCAGCTAATAGAAAGAGACCTTTGTGGCATTCTACAACCTATTGTTTGTGTTGAGTAATAAAAGGAACATGTTATAAGGCACCACAAACTTCTCATTGTCAATGACTCCTTATATTAGTCACTACCATACACTGTTGGACCTGTTGTTCTATTAGATGCGATGTTAAACTGCTCTGCCTGAATACTAGTTGGCTCAACACAATCTTTGACAAAGATAACAAGGTTATTGTGCTTTATATTGCAGCGATGGTATAGCCCAGGGTCTGGGTTCATGTATCAGAGATGTCCGGAATAGTTATCATGCCGTCCGGGTAAAGATAAGTTATTACCGCAAGACGTTACAGGTAAGCACTTCAGTAATTGTGATTGATTGTAACTTTGTATGTAGCTTCTTTGGAGACTGGATTGGAGCTTGCCCCATTGATACTGATATTATCAAGCCGATCGCTTTCCGGGGGTGATAATCCCTTCAACTAAAATAATAATAAAAATATGGTCACTCAATTCACGACTGTTTGCAGGACAATTGCAGTGTTTCGCCCACAAAAATACAATCAATTCACTTTACCTTATATTCTCAACGATGTAATAAGGCACTATGTTAAATGCTATATCATTATTATTATTTTTCCTCTGCTCGCTTGCCAGTCTTTTTCCTCCACCATTCCCCCATCCTCTCCTGAGGATTTGTGCTTGGAGTGCCAGCCTGCTCTCATGTACCCAAGTAGCCATTCAAAAGGATATCATTTTTAAAGCAGGGAGTTCTCCCAAGTGTCTGGGCTAATATTCTTCCCTCCCTCATTTAAATTCACTGAAAAGAACACAGGGGAATTTGACTTCACCCTTTTGCTGTGTAGATGAGCTGCCATGTTTGCTTACATAAGGCACCAAACCTCAAAGCAGTGTAAAGCCTTTTGAGGCATGTTGGTTCATTCACATCAGACGCATTGATCGATTCACTTCAATGTGTCTGATGCGAAGGTTTGTGGAACATCGTAGTGTACAAATTGACTCCCACGTTTGCTCACAAACTGTCACTCCACTTTACAGACGATGCTGTGAAATGCATCATAATTTTTTTGCAATTTACGGTCCTGACTTGAAAGGTGCTATACCAAATGTAAGGATTATTATATTATGTAATACGTTGGTGTATAATAGGATTTTTGAAGATTTTGTTCCCCCATTGTACACTACAGTAGCAGACAGATGAATTCTGAATCCCGACACTTGGTGCATTTCGCTTTTGCCCTGCTGTAATAACACGTTTTGATGTCCGTTTTCCCTTTGGAATGAATGCATGTTCTTCCTCCTGTCGACCTGTTGCACCACAGTATCAAAATACCACTCTGCAATAAACCTGTTCGGGAATACTAGAAATTTCATCCAACGATGTATGGTTGTGTCATTATTTTGATAGCTTATGCATTTTCATTCAGTTACAGATTCACAATAGATCGTACAGCAAGGAAACATAAGTAATTAAATTACTATGAATTAACAGCAGAAGTGTAAATATTTTTTGCAATCTACACTTCGCATAGTAATGATCCAGCATTTCAGTGGGTACGTCAATATCCAGCCTTTATTTTTCTTTTAGGTTTATCTAAATCTGGGGAATTCAGTGACCGACGAGAGTTATGAGCTTTGCATTCAGGTCAAAAACTTGATCGTTCCTTCCGGAGGCTACTTTGGAGTTTCTGCAGCGACTGGAGGAATTGCTGGTGAGCTGAGAAAGAGCTGAAATGGGAAGACTGCAGGACTGGCGTTCTGGAAAGATGAGATCATAGGGCTGAAGGGCCTTCCTCATCTACATCTCTCATTGTACAGTGAAGAACCAAATCCTGAACTTGCTTCACCAGAAATGAAGGAGAAATGCAGTTGTGGCTCCAGCTAGTGGTTAGATGGAAGCATTGCTGGACAGACAGCCCAGAAGGTTTTCCCGGCCACAAGTTGAATTTTTTTAAAAAAAACGAAAATACATTTCTGATTACTTTAAACTCAAGCATCTCACTCAGTACATTGAGGGTCTATCTTGGTTGCATTTCCTAACATATTTTAATGAGAAGTGTGTAATCATTGATTTTTTTTTGAAACATTGAATGTGCCAAAGAACGCCATCTTCATACAAACGCTATCTATATTTGGTCATTGCAACTTTCTTATTAATATTTTAGGGAATGCTGCAAATTGCATCCGATGATATGTGGTTTTTGTCATTATTTTGATAGTTCACACAATTTGATTTCAGTTACAGAGTTACATAGGTTGTATAGCAGGGAAACATAAGTTATGCTTTGAATTAAAACAATCTGATGCATCTCGCCCCTCTATTTCTATCGTTCAATTTTTTTTGTATGTTTTACTATCAAGGTGATGGTACATTTTGAGATTAGATGTAAATAATTAACTTGGGATTTCTTTCTCTGTTTCTTTTAGATGATCATGATGTTCTGTCATTTGTCACGTTCAGCCTGACTGAACCTGGGAAACAGGTGAGAGGCAGAAGTTCTGGACTTTGCTAAACGATAGAATTAAATTACTGAGCAGGCCATCTGTTTGACAAGTTTGAACTCCTTAGTCAGTGAGTAGAAGCGTAGCAGTTGTTCAGGGTTCCAAAAAATGGTCATGTCAATCCACAATGTGGAAGCACAGACCGGTGATTTGTTTCAGGGCGGGTTGGAATCTTCTGAACTCCAACTAGTGCCTTATCAGAGGACCCCACTGTGTATGTACGCGGTGTGTTGTCTCAGCCAGGCTCAGTTGGTAGCTCTTGCTCCTCTGCATCAGGAACTTGAGGGTTCAAGCACCTTGTAGAGACTTAGACACGAGACACCCTTGAGCTCATACAACAGTCCATTGCTGGGGGATGCTGCCATGTCGAAGATGCCTTCCTTCAATGAGAGATTAAACCTAGGTCCTGCCTCTCTTTTTAGGTAGAGGTTTGTACAGAATAAACTGACTTCCTGCTTTGTCTTGACCGAACTGTGGAACAATACGAGTCAGAAATCTGATTCCGTCCATTTTCCCCATCGACATATTGTTCGTCTTTATATATAGGATCCCTCGAACCAGATGCTCAACAAAGACCTGGATGAGTATCAAAAAGAGTATGAACGCTTTGAGAAAGACCTTGAGAAACGCAAAGATGAGTACCAAAAACAACACCCGGAGACACACACGCCAGGTAGGAACAGGACCAGAGTCTGGGGCTGAACCACATCTCCCACCAGCACTGGTGATGTTCTGCAACTTAACAGCAACATCTAGTGGTATAATTCGATTTTAAGATCCTTTCAGTCGTCTTTAAATCCCTTCATGCCCTGGCACCTCCAAACCTCTGACCTGCTTCTCAGGCACAAGCATTTGAGATTCAGTTAAAAAGAGGCTAATGATGGCTGGTTCAGTGCACTCCTTCATGTAATTTTGTATTGTATTGCTCGCCTCTTCTGCCTGGCCCCTTCCTAGATCTCTGCCTCCTCTGTGCTCTCTGCGTCCCAAGCAAGCTTTTGTCCCTCGCTTGCTTGCTCTCTCCCTCTCTCCTCCCTCCGCTCTTCCCTCGCTCCCATTGCCAACTGTAAAGCTCCCGATCTGGAGACACATCCTCACCGCTTCCACCCTGTGCGGACAAACCCATCTAAAACGCCTCACCTTCTGTTGTCTCTAGATGAGGATGTATTTGAGACACAGGGCCAACGGGAGTTACAGATGGTGCTTGATGGTCAGTCCGTGATTCAATCCGAGTTGAAGAGACTTGGGGAGAGGTTGAAAGTGATGTTCGAAGGGCAGAAACAAAATTCTGAGTTCATCAGCCATGCAGGCGGAAAGCGATCCACAACTACAGTGGTAGGAGAAGCAGAACAGGCAAGTCTGGGAGCGGAATTTGGGGGTTAATTTTTTTTTCTGTCCAGCTCATGTTCAATTGAGGTTCAGAGAATGCGGAGGCTATTGATCTGAATGTGCTAGACTGGGTCCTATAACCACCAATCATCCCTGGGTCATTCTGACTCGGAGGTGAAAGTACTAGTGATTGAGCCAGGGTGACACACAACCCAACTTGCCTTTGGATTTGTATAGCGCCCATCACACAGGTAGCATCCCAGAGCGACAGTTCTTGTGAAAGTTGTTGTAGGGAGAATTTACTCTCTTTTCAAAAAAAACGCATCAAATTCTTAGGAAATCTGGTAAGAGATGGTACAAAATTGCAGGACATAGGGCCTAGTGTAACAAAGCGTTGTTGAAAGCCATAGTCTTATGTCACCATAAGTTCAGAATAACACAGCAAAAGTGTTGTCCTGTTCAGCTATAAGAGAGATGAGAGTCGCAGTGTTTCTGGAGTAACAAGATGTGGAGTGGGAGAAAAGGGTGTCTGAGAGCCGTGCAATGTTTGAAAAGTGAGAGGGTGGAGAGACCTTAATTCTAAGGTCAGGGAGGTTTGGGATCAGACGTGGCAGGGAAAGGCAGGGTTCTGTCCTGTTGGATCCACACTGATTTCAACAGAAGCTCCTTAAGAAAATCCAGTTGAACCTGACAGGTTTGTGCCAGGGGCTATGCCAGCCACTCGCTGCATATTCTGCCCGCTGGAGCTTACCATGTTGGAATCCTGATGCTTCTTCTCAAGACGCCACACAGTGATGAAGCGAGAGGGTGGTCAGTGTTTAGAGGTGAATATCTAACCGCGCATGATTAGGAACAGATGCTGTCACCTTATGCGAGTTTTAGTGTCCTCGTGAGAGGCTGGGAGATTAGCGGATGACTTTTAAACGGAAATTGTAGCGTAGAGGTTTGTCTCCCTGTACACAAACACTGTCTGGTCAGCTCTGAGATGCTCAATAATTGGACTCAATGGAGGCGTGGGGGAGAGGAGTTCAGCATTCCCTCATTGTTAGTGCAGTGGGCCACAGTCAGGCAAATGTCTGCCCCATCACCACTCCACATCCTTGACGGTCACAACAGTGTCTTTTTAATCACTCGTGTGTTTGCCATTCCAGACGCTATCTAGGTTTCACGGTCCGTTGTGATTTGAAACAAGCTTGTCTTGTGTTGCTGTGCTCCCATTGTTAATCGTTCCTGGAACTAGTGCGGCATTCTTGCTTTCTGAACCATGTTCTTGGAGATTCTAAACAGCACAGCAAATAATAATAATCCTTGCATTTGATATTTGATGAAATATTATATATTTGATATATATAATGTAATTGAGATATCTCAAAGTGCTCCACAGTTTATACTGTTCCGCCGTAGCACTCTGGGATGAGGGGCGCTAAATAAATGCAATTTTTCTGTTGTTGTCGTTCTGTGAAGTGAATTGACTGTATATTTGTGGGTGAAATATTGAATAAGCCCCAGCAAAGCCTGTCTGCAGGCAGATGGAAATGTTTTTTTTCTCTCTCTCAAACAAATCTGTTCCCCTCGGAGATGTTTGACTCCTATTTCCTTTTACTGGGGTACAATTCCATGGTATCTCAGCCATGCAGCTGTGAGCTGTGTGAGCCTTGCGACGGTGAACATTGGCAGGCGGCTCAACTGTGGGTGCATCGCAGCCGAGTCCAATCCTTCCACTTCCAAACAAGTGCAAGCGGGTGTCTGGATAGCAATCGAGAGCAGTTGGTTCCCCCTCCCTAACCCAACTATAGCCCAACTACTCCCTGAGATTAGCTAATTCACCTCTGTGCCTGGGTGTGGAACCTGCAGTGTTCCAGGCTCATCGTCTTCATACTGCATTGGGTGGTGTCTTTATCACTCGACTGTCGAGAGTTGTAATCTGCCTGTTGAGGATTACAGGTAGACACTTCTGTAAACAATAGGTAAAAATAATTTTGTCGTGCAGGGAATACCTACAATCAAATAAATCATTGTAGATCTGTGCATTGAAAGGCAGAGTGAAAAATACATGCAGTAGGTAAAGACTATAACCAGATAACCTTAGCTTGAATTTGTGTGTATTTTATATGTATATATTATATATACTAAATTAATAAATGGGTAACAGTCTTGCTTCATACCTTTTTAAATCCTTCTGTAGTTTGTGTTCTCTAAGTATAGCTGGAGCTGTGTTGGAAGCTTGTGACCGGATTATCTGGTTAAACAGAAGGTCTTGTTTCTGATACCATGTGGGACAGCTGAGCAAATGAAAACTGGGGCTGAAGGCAGTGTTAGTTTTCATCCACCATGTCCTCAATCCCTCCGCCTTGCCCCCTCCTTTGCCTCTTATACATCACGACTGAAGACCTTCCTCTTCAACTGTGCTTACGGTCACCTCCTCCCTTCTCCCGGCTCAGTGTCGGGCTCAGCCACATTGCTAATATGAATGCAAGTCGTTGTAGTTTTAAAATGATTAGAACCCCCCACAGAATGAACACAGACAGCGAAGTGTTGCTTCGCTCAGAGCTCCCAATCATTTCCCCATCTTAACGTTTATTCCAAGCAGTTTAGGTGGTTTGTTGTTATTTTTTACATTATCGTGTCAGCCTCAAGACTCAATCTCCGCGTTCCTGAGTAATTTGATCCGTGCAGGGTGGTTATGTCGAGGCCCTCCAGTGGGAGGCAATCATGAATACTCAACATCACCCATGGATGCTTCTGACGAGTTCCGTGCTAAGAGGTTTTGTTGGGGAGGTGGGTGGGGATTACTGAGATTACCATTTGCGATTGGGAGCAATTGAGAATTATCTGACCTGATACAGTTCAGAAGGTTTGTGTTTAATGAGGTTGTGATGAAGTGTGTTTTTTTTCAATTACATTTTTTCAGTGAAAGGAAAACGTATGAATAAATTTGTAGTGTTAGTTTGGGACATCCTCCTGACTTGAAAGGCGCTATACAATAATAATAATCCTTGCATTTGATACAGTGCTTTTCATGTCTTCTAGACGTCTATACAAATGCTTTTTGTTGTTGTTACTAGGGTTATTGATGTAAATCCTAGCTGGCTCTTTCATTTACATTTACTATTGAGGATCAATATCCACTTAGAATTGAGATCCATTGCCATTATAATAATAATAATAATCCTTGCATTTGATATAGCGCTTTTCACGTCGGGAGGACGTCCCAAAGCGCTTCACAGAATAGACTGTAAAGTGAATCGACTGTATATTTGTGGGCGAACGCGGCAGCCAATTGCGCACAGCAATGTCCCACAAACAGTCGTAGATTGAAAATGACCAATTTATTATTGTTTTGTTTTGGAGGGATTATTATTAGGCTCTGTGTGGAGTAAGGAAACTTGCCCAAGGTTTCGCCCTCTGCCTGGAATTGAACTCAGGTCTCTCACTTGCAAAGCGAGTGCTCTAACCACTGAGCTACAAGACTCATTGTCTGGTATTCCACGGTCAGGTCTGTCAGAGCCATTAAACCTTGGGGATAAATGACCTGAGGCGAGTGTCTTGTTGGCTGTTGTCACAACAGGGACCCCCCAATGTTGGTGGTTTTCTAGGTAAACGGAGAAAGTGTATCGTGTCTCGCAGACAATTTTCACCCCGTTGCTCCCTGCCATGTTATCTCCAATTCTTAAGAGAGACTGTTCTCAAACCGTGCTGCTCCATAATGGGCCACTAGGTGGAATGTTTGCTTCCAGCCTGACACTTTTAAAGCTTGAAGTAGCAACAAAGAGATGCACTCGTCTATTTTGGAGTTCCACAGTATAGCGGCAAGCCCGCTCGCATGGCAAGCGAGAGGACCCGAGTTCAATTCCCGGGCAGCACAAATCCTTAGGTAAGTTTCCTTACTCCTGTCTATTGCTGGATTGCTTTCCGTGGTTAATGATCTGTAAAATAACTGTTTGTGGGACACTGGCGCAATTGGTTGATGTGTTTTGCCCACAAAATACAGTCAATTAACTTTACGATATATTCTGTGAAACACTGACATCTCAACTATGTGATATATGCAGGATCGTTATTATATTTTTGTAAAAGTTAGACGGTCACCACAGTGAGCTCACACCCAGTTAACTTTTTAAATATGTACGGCAAATTACAAACCCTTCAAAACTGAAGTGCCCATGTTCAATCCAGGTTTGCTTTGATTAAACATTGTTTTGTCTTTGCTGAACTAGGGTGACGTTGGTTCCAAAAGCCTCGAGTCGATGCTGAAAAATCAGAAGGAGTTGGTTCGTCAAGTGCAGGAAATGAGGTACATGTGCTGATACTGCATCTCGTAACATACAGTCAGGTACATGTAATCGGCTGGATGTTGTGGCAGCTGGTCAGGCCTTAGTTTGGTGCTTTATGATGGCTGAGTGTGCAGCCTATTTGAGGAGGAGAATCAGTTTAAATCAGTTTAGATATCTTACCACCCTGTCCTGCCCACTACCTTCAACTAATGCGGAGAGTAGTATCGTCCATGGCTGAATCACCCACAAAATACACAGTCACTCCACTTCAGAATATATCCCGTGAAGCGCTTTGAGAAGTCTCAATGATGTGATGAAGCTCTATATCAAATGCATCCAATTGTTAATAATTATCTAAAGACTCAATGGCAATGAAATCGTGGAGTCCTGTAGCTCAGTGGTTAGAGCACTCGCTTTGCAAGTGAGAGACCTAAGTTCAATTCCAGGCTGGTCAGGGCCAAACCTTGGGCAAGTTTCCTTACTCCACACAGAGCCTAATAATAATCCCTCCAAAAAAACAAAACAATAATAAATTGGTCATTTTCAATCCATATGACTGTTTGTGAGACATTGCTGTACGCAATTGGCTGCCGCGTTCGCCCACAGATATACAGTCAATTCACTTTACAGTGTGCTCTGTGAAGCGCTTTGGGACGTCCTCCCGACGTGAAAAGCACTATATCAAATGCAAGGATTATTATTATAAATAACCGCTTTCATTTATATCGCACTTCATGTAGGATAATATCGCAGAGCACAGCACTGACCTGATTGGCCGCTAAGCAAGGTGGGGTGGGGGGTGAGGGGGTGACCAAAGGCGCAGTTGAATAAGTAGTTGTTCAACTGGCATTTAAGGTTTTTTAAAAAAAAGGGGACGGGTTGAGGCAGGGAGAAACCGAGATCAGAGGTGTAATGGATGAATGTGGCCCATTTGAAGCCAAAAGTATCGTACAATAGAAATCTGGTTTGAGGTCACCTCACTAGTGCAGCCCCCCTCACAATTGCGGGCACATTTTCAGTCTCTTTCATTGTCAATGTTAAAAGATAGGCCGTCTGCTTTAGTAAACCCGCCAGCTCACTATTCAGGATAACACTCATTGATTGCGGCCATACAGTGTCCGCCTCCAGTACAAACACGGTACAAACACCCCTTTACAAATAAAACAATGCCTTTATTTTAATGAGATTGTAAAGTATGGTTGTTGAATGTTCATCACCCTCGCCCATTACCAATGCCCTTAACATTACATCAGTGACCTGAATCATCGACCTGTTTCAGTAATCGGGTCACCTCACTAAGGTAGGTCACTTTTGCCCAGTCCCTTGAGTTATTGGATTAGTGAGGTCAAAATGCAGGTAGTTTGAAATATTCTCCTCCCCCCCCCCCCACACACACACACACACACATTCTGTGCTGAACATTTCTGTTGAAGGCTGTTTTACGAGCTCACAAAGTACAATTAAGCCCTCATCAAAAACTTCAGGGGACACAAATATAAGAGAGCAACGAGGGAATCAAAAAGAGAATTTAGAAGAAACTACTTGATGCAGAGTGCAATGAGATTGTGTAACTCGGTGCTTGAAGTGGTGGTTGATTCAGTTGGTGTAGATGCATTCAAGAGGAAACTAGACCTTTACATGAGGGAGAGTTGAACAGAAGGGTGTGGGAGGGAGTAAAGGAATGGGTGGAAACTGATGTGGAATGTATACACCAGCATAGACTGGTTGGGCCAAGTGCCCTGTTTCTGTGCTGCATGTTATTTGTAAATCTTGCACCTTGGGTTTCAGTAATAAACCCAAATTCAGTCCCTCTTGATTTTCAATGTCAGAATTGTTTTCCCTTCGAACAAATCGTAATCGTTAAATTATTTTAAAACCAATTTACTGGCGGATATTATTTATGAGAAACGCTTTACTTTTTTTTCAACCGGGATGGTGTTGTGGTTGTTTGCCTGTAGATTTTCTTGTGTATAGTGGATCTTTGGGGATTTTTTTTGATTATAAGCTAAGCATACCACATCTGTGACCGTGTTTCACATCCCAGCTGGGCTTTGGTCTAACTGACCTAGTTCCTGCTGCATGAAATTGAAAGGATTTGCACTGTTTCAGTAGTGGCCCTTCCAGCTGTAGTAAGCCGCATTCTGTGCTTGAGTTTTTCTGCCATGTTTATATAGGCATTACACTAACATCCAATGACACTGGCATGTTAGAATATGTCCTGTCAGTGTGTGCTAACCGCTGAAATATGCTGGCACTATGATTTTATCTTGATTTATTAGGACCAGGGAATGCAGAATAGTGATCATCAACCTTACATGATGTTAGTCCGTACGTGGCAGGGAAATTTGACAAAACTGTGACCCATATTCTGCATATGTGTATCTCACCGGCCTGCCCCAGTCTGAAATTTGCCAACACAAATAACCAGCTGAGAAGGAAACTGCTTACAGGAAATTAGAAATGCATTTTTATAGCTCTTTAATATGTTGAAATGTCTCAAAATAATTACTGTAACGGGTAGTGACGCAGTCAAGTGAGCAGCTATTTTGGGCCAGCAGGGTTCCGCAAATAGCCGCGAGATGAATGACCAATTAACAATATTTTTTGCATTCTTTTATACTTAGCACTCTTGCTACTGGATCAGAGAATTATTGTTTCAAGCTTCCAATGGGGTGTTGCTTTCTAGTCTAGGCTGTCGGTTATTACTGTGCGGTACTGGGGGAGCGTTACCAGTTCTGAGCTGCTGATTTTTGAAACTGAACATCTATCTGCTTGTTCAGAAGTCAAAGATCCCATGGTACTGCCTGAAATGAAAAGGGAGTTTCTCCAGGTCCACCAGCCAACAAGCCTCCAAATGAGTGAATAATTTGTGCGTGGCTGTTTGTGGGTCTTGCTGGCCTACTTGTTTTTGGTCGGCTGGATATCGTGCACAGAAATCCATCACTACGATTAAAAGTCTCCAAACCAAAGTACCGGGAGCGCCACATGAAAATGGATTTTGTTTGGTCTGAAGTGTGACTGTCCCGTCAGGAGCTGGAAACATTTTACCATTAGGCAGAGGTCCATAGCAAGAGAGAGAATATTTGAGTCCACTCTCCAGAAGGTGCTCATACACGCTTTGTAGAACCTGGATACAATAGTATTTGGTGTCTCTCTGCCCTTTGCCAGGCTCTTAACTCAAAAGAAGGGCAGGAAATGTGCATTGAAAAAGGAATTACCTTCAAAGACTTGACCGTGTATTTAGAAATGCTCTGGATCCAATTGCATGTGAAACAGCCACCACGAAGCTTGTTAATAACATCCCAACTGACTGTCCCTGTCAGGCCCTCCTGCGCAATTGGAAAGAAGCTTTCTCTATAGTTAAGGCTGAAAGCTGTCCAAACTCGTAAGTGTTACAGCTAAAGACCAAGCGCTGCTTTTATTGGAGTAATGCAGTGTGAACGGAGGAAATTTCTGAAGAGGATGTTGTGTTGGATGAAGCTGACAATTCACATTCTGTAGCACAAGGCTATCAGCATTCATTCCCAGCTCGGTGAAAAGAAATGCAACCTCCATGCGCTTCAGGTGCAATCATTTCACATATGATATTGTGCTATCATGATGAAACTTTATAACCTCTCTGGTACACGCTTGCTCTTCACATTTGAAGTTTTTTTTTATTGTCGATAATCAGTGCCGCCTTTATACCTCCACCACTGAATCGTGCTTTTTCCCCTGGAGTCTTATTGTCATGTGTAAACAAAACATGTATATGTGCCATCTTTGCAGAGAGTTACAAGTGTCCCTAATTATACAATTAACAAATGAAGAGGTTTGGTTGTTAATTGATAAATCCTCTCCTTGAAAGTTAATGACACAATTAAAGAGAACCTGTAATTCTCATAGCACGTTTCCACATTGTGCATAACACAACTGTGTCTACACATGTCAAAAGATGGAGTACTACATAGGTATGCTACGCACATCAATTAAATGTAACTTCTGGCAAATGTGTTATCCGGCAAAATTCTCCAATTAATGCAAGTTATTTGAAACCATTACACACAGACAAATGGACAGGGTCAGCTTAGAGCAAAGCCATTTCATGTTGCTAATAACATCAAAGCATGCAGTCAAAGACCAATATTAATTGCAGTATAAAGAGGTGTACACGGAGGTCTAAATGAAGTCTAAATTATTAACGTCTCATCCAAAGGACGGCACCTCCGACAATGCAAGACACCCCCAGCTCTGCATTGGAGGGTCATCTTCGACTATATTTATGCCATTAACTACCAATGGTGATGCAAATGATGCAACATTGTGTAAAGTTTTTAATTCGTTCAGTAAATTGCAGTCACCTGTATATTTTTGAACAGGGTTATTCGTCCAAGGCCTTTAGCCAAACTTACATTTTGGACCCTGGTATCTCCTTGCATTATCCAGGACAGGAACACCATTGAAAGTTGGGACTCACTCTATCTATGCCATGGCTCCCTTCCTGGGCCAAGATGCTGAGGTTGGCTTTGGCAGCAATTGCAAGGCAGCTTGAGTAACTTGCCGATAGCTGCTGAAGTGCTTCATTCTACGTAAGCATTGAGATGCAAAGAATCCCCTTGCCAGTCTCTGTACTATTTTGGTATTGACATTGATTTGACTTGACACTAATGCGAATCCCTGTACGTTTGTTTTGGGAATTGATTCTGTCTGGCACACATTTCACTTACAATAACGTTGACGGAGCGATGATCACTGACGGCTTTTAGAATTATTATTAATGCCGTCACGTCTTCTATTTGCCTTTGTTCTTCTTAATAGTATAAAGATTGATTTTGAATGTTTGCAGTCTTGAGTTTAGTTAAGTCAAAGGAGCTACTGAGATGACAGGGAAAGGGAGCTGAATTACTGTGATACCATACACTTTATCTATTCTCTTAAGTTAATTTTCCCCAGTACTGTCAAATTCATAGCTTGTGGAAACTAAAGAAACTAATCAGAATAAATAATTCTGATATTTAATTGTTTTTTGAGGAGAGGCAGT